AGTAAACGGCCCAGATGGTGAGAAGTGGCTAGAATCCATGGAGAAAGAGATATCCAACATAGAATCTAAGGATACATGGGTGGAGACGGTACTTCCACCGGGATGAAAAGCCATTGGATGTAAATGGGTATTCAAAGTGAACACAGATTCTGAGGGAAACCTACTAAAGTACAAGTCACGACTAGTAGCCCAAGGCTTCTCACAGATACCAGGTGTCGACTACGAAGAAACGTTTGCACCTGTAGGAAGATCGGGATTGTTGCGAATACTCTTGACTATAGCAGCAACCGAAGATCTCGAAATTCATCAGGCCGATGTCGAAGGGGTGTATTTAACCAATAAACTCGATGTCAAAATTTACATGAAGTATCCCAAGGGGATAAAACTGAAACCTGGATGTAATACCTTGAAGTTAGTAAAGTCTCTTTACGGTTTAAAGCAATCGGGTAGAACATGGTGGATAGAACTCGGCGAAGGATTATCTCACCTAGGTTTTTCAAGAATCGAATCAGATTGGGGTCTTTACTACAGACCAGAAGGGAAAATCGAAGGAAAGGGAGCAGCAATACTGCTAGCCTATGTCGATGATCTGGTATTAGCCACGAAATCGAAGGAAGAAGCAAAGGAAATTTTTGATGGGCTAGGTAAAAGGTGGATAATAACCGACCTGGGGGAGATAAGTACCATTTTAGGTATGAAAGTAACAAGGAACAGAGAAGAAAAGACGATATGGTTAAACCAACCAGCGTACATTGATAAAATAGTTGAGAAGTTCCCTGAAAACGACTTACACCGAGACCGAAAAACACCATTACCTCTTACTGCAAAAAATCCTTCGATGTCGGAAGTGGGAAGTGAAGTTCGACCATTTCAAGAATTAATAGGGTGTCTACAGTGGTTAGCCACATGTACTTGACCAGATATATCCTATGCAGCCTCATACCTTGCTAGGTACCTCACCAAACCGGCGAAGAAAGTATGGGAAGAAGGGATAATGGTAATTACCTACCTTCGGTCGACTCGTTTACATGGTATTCGTCTAGGTGGCGAGGCTAGCGATCTAGCAGGATGGGTTGATGCCGATTGGGCAGGATGTAAAGACACACGACGATCAACGACAGGCTGGATCTTTATGATGAACGACTCACCGATAACATGGAGTTCGAAAAGACAAGCTACAGTATCGTCGTCGACAGTTGAAGCAGAATACATCGCGATGGCTGAAGCAGCGAAGGAAGCTCAGTGGTTGAGAGGATTACTGAGGGAAATAGGCTACGATCAGCTAAATCCTACTGTATTAAATTGTGATAATCAAGGATCGATATCACTAGCGAGGAAACCTGGTACTCACCAGAGGACAAAGCATATTGATATTCGACATCATGCTCTTCGAGATCTAGTCAGTAGCAAAGTTATTGAACTAGAATACGTCAGCACTGTCTCTCAGAGAGCAGATGTACTCACGAAGGCTTTAGGTGGACCAGTACATTCGGTGAATATGTCAGCGATACGGGTAGAACCACCGAAGAAGAAAAAATTGGTTCAGTATACGTGACATTAGATGATGACAAAATTATCGATTACGATTATTCTGATTTCGAGGATCTAGGAGATCTATCAGGCGGTACAGAGAACGAAGTGGTACTAGAGAACGAAGTGGTACCAGAGATAGAAGCAGTACCAGAGAGAGAAGTGTGGGTGGAAGGAACTTCAGAGAAACCCACCGAAGATACCACCGAAGGAAAAGTTCTCGTGAGCCAAAGTGTAAAACTTTCAGATGTACCTAAGAATGTGAGTAATTCTAAGATAGGTCAGAAACCACCGGTAGAACCTAGAATTGTTAGAGAGATGAAAGAGAAGGGACAGAAGAGAAGGGAAGGACGACTACATAATGAGAAGAGAGAGAAAACTACGTATTTCCCCTCTCCACATCACGACCCCTCATTTCGTCGTCCAGGACGTCTCTTATCTCCCCTTCCCACGTCTCCATCTCGTGGATCATGTCGAATAAGGAGGCCGAGGCCCCCTGTCCACCACGAGAGGCGGACGCCAAGAGATACCGAGCGTACAAAATGGTCGACAGCAACGTTCGGAGATATAACATCAACATTGGAGATAATTCGAGAAATCAGTCTAGATAATGACAGAATCAATAAACAGCGTACCTTTTCTCTCGGACTCCCTCCAGAAACCAACCATGAGAAACCCACAGCGAGACATAATGATAATTCTTATAAAAATAAAGGTTTTTCGATGAGTGGCGAATCTATGAGATATCGTCAGCCAGGACCACGAACGAAACTCATCGATTCTCGGGATTTTACTAGCAAACCTGAAGTTTCAAGAAGTAAACAGGATAGAAGGAAGTTCAGAGAGTCAGAAATGAGTGATAAAAGTGGAGAAAGACGAAAGGTGGACATACCGTTATTTGGAGGTAAAAGTGATGAAGTAAAAGGAAAGATAGAGAAGAGTGAGTTGTCAGTGGTGAGTGGTAGTCACGTGTCAGAGCGGAGCCCCGCGGGGGGCCCCACAGAAATTCATTTCACGATTTCACCTACCACTACTACCACACATATAAAACTCAACGTTTCATCATTACTACCTTCTACATCATCACAAACCTCGCCGTCGCCATCGATAAATCGTCGGGGACTACTGCAGAGTCGTGCATTGTCCCGTGGGGGAGTGTTAGCCGATAGAATCGGGCCAGGACGGCCGAACCGCCGTTAGAATTACCCCTTCCGTCGAATATTTCTCCGTTCAACTTATCCTCTGAACTTTATTCGATCGTCTCTGGTTTTATGCGTGTGAGTGGAATGTGATAAGTATAGAGACATGTAGAATTGATGCATGCTCTTTTTCCCCTCTGTATTACCATCTAATTATCAGCAAACACAATGGTGGGAGATAAAGCGCACCGATACATCCACATCTAGCTTGGTGGTTCATGTGGGAGGTTCAGTTACATGGAGGGCATGGCTTCACAAGCTCTTGTACGTGTTTTATGACATATGTGACTCCAAGCCAGACATTGGGTACCACAGAGAGTAGTTGCAGCCATGACACAGGCTTGAGAACGTGAGGTGTATCTCAGGGGGCCCACTAAACCTTACACTTCCTACCTTCTTGCCCCTCACTTCTGATCACCGCAAACTAGATGTGAGTTGTCTCGTTTGATACTAGTCAACTTCTTGGTGTCCCATACAGAGTTTCTCACCTCAACCTTTGTGCAACAAGAGTACATATCTTCTTGTTCTTTTGCCTTGCAGGACACCAGCTGGAGACATGTCCAGTGGAAGCAGTGTGGAAGATCTTTTGCATGAAAGAGCTCTTGTTTGCAAAATAACCAGTGACAATGTGGAGTAGAATCCTCTGTCCAGCTCTTTGACGTTCCTCGTACTTATCACATGCTGCTCATACACTACAAATACAAACGGACCCCAAAAAGCTCAGAACATAATAAGATGAATGGACAATGTGACGGATGGGGTAAGTCTAGAACTCTGTCACGAACTACGTCGTGACACCTCGATTACTCCACCAGCAATGACCCTCCTTTGACCATCAAAACCCCCATCACGCCTTAACCTCTTTACTCTACACGTAACTCAGGACTTCTGAGACCAAGTACGGCAAAGTTAGACGGAGTTAGGCTAAGTAGGGACAATGGGAGCAGAAGTACGGCGAAGTTAGATGGAGTTAGGCTAAGTAGGGACAATGGGAGCAGAAGTACGGCGAAGTTAGACGGAGTTAGGCTAAGTAGGGACAATGGGAGCAGAAGTACGGCGAAGTTAGACGGAGTTAGGCTAGGTAGGGACAATGGGAGCAGAAGTGCGGCGATGTTAGGCGGAGTTAGTCGAAGGAGGAAGAGGATGGCCGAGGACTCGGGGAAGTTGGACGAAGTACGTTGAAGTACGTCAAAGCGCGAGAGGGTTGGATGAACGTCTAGGAGGAGTAGATAATATTAGCTGAGAAGATCGCTGAAGTTCTTCAGCGATCCTTGATTGTTGTCAGTAGTGAAAGACAGATAGAGATAGCTATTTACAAATTGAGATACATCGCCATCAGTAGAACAAAATCCCAGTTAGAGTAACTACGCCGAAGTACGCCGTAGTTACACCCCTTTCGACGTCTGCGCCCTCCCGGTTGGGTGAGACATCGATTTAGAAGGACCAAGTTAGCCGAGGTTCGTCGACCGTCGGTCTGTTAGAAAGTAGTTGTTCGACGGGCGTGACAAACTCCCAATTAGGATTTTGCAGCCTGATTATTGTTAGGACCAGACAGTGTAGAGAGTCTGTGTTGCTTGTGCTATGGCCGTAGAGGCCTTGCAGGGGGCAAACCTATTGATGTAGATCATCTAATGGACCTGGAAGGTTATTGAGATTGAGTGGCAAAAGATGATGCTGAAGAGTACAAAATACATTTGACAAGGGGACTATGGAAATAGAATGTTTCTATGTAAGGCAAAGGGGGACAGAGTGATGCCAATGTGAATGAGTAAGGTGGGAAATGGTTATGGGGTAGAAGAGCAAAATAAGACGGAGATGATGTGGGACACGGGGATCAAGGAAATGTATCATGTGGTGTGAGACAATGGAAGAGGGGTAATAGGAGAGGACACAGTTATAGAAAGAAGTAAGACTACTACACTCCCATAATCAGGTGCCCGTGATCCTGACATTATCGACTAATATCGTACCTTGGGGACATTACACTAGTGACGACGGTAACATCACGTACGAGCACTATTCTGACCAGTGGAGAGCCTGGACCAGATTTCCGATCCTAACGGAACACCAGAACAACACGGCGAACGCCGCCGGTGCACGGAGGATTGTTTCCCTGACAACTCGTCGGTTGAAAGGAGTGATCAGTTTGCGTCATCCAAGCAGGGCCTTCGGAGCGGTCTCTGAACTAGGAGTATACATAGCTCTACACCACTGGAGGTTCCCCTCCTACTGTACGCCACTAACAATCGACTGCACGCCTCAGACAACAGAATGATTTCTTCCCAGCAAGACATTGCTGGACCATTTACATCAGAGCAGACGCGAATGCTGACTACATGGACACTCCACAAGCTCCGAGATGAATCACCCCTGATGCGTGACAAACTCGCCACCCATGCTTTTGTGGTGCGGAGTCAGACCTTTGAACCACTCACCCCGGGCCCATTCCTCCGCTGGGTGGGTCCAGCAATCAAATTGGAACGCGGAGATGAGATCAGTGAAAGCGAGGACAAAAGCAACGTTGAAGCTCTCCATCGAGGTATACAGTTCACACTTCGAATGTGCAGCATCCTTCATAGAGAGACGAAAAAGAGCTGGGAGGACTATCTGAAAGATACAGCGCCATACGCGCAGACTTGTTCAACCGCTCTGGTGGCTCTCTTACAAACAGGAGAACCTACAGGGTATAAGCTATATCCCATGCTAGAGGTTATGGATCTGATATTGTGTGAAGCTCAGGGAGTCGGTTCACACAATCGTGAACACTGGATTCAGTGGATGGATCAAGCTGCGAGCTTGCTCGTTCGAAATTCCAAATTCATTCCGGCTCCTCTCCGAGAAATGTTAGAATCAGAGGTCAACAGGTTCTCCACCTACATTGACTGGGCCAGACAATGTCCAATACAGAGATTTCAGAGCTTTGACAAAAGCGTTTCAAAAGACCCAAGTGCTGACGGCTCATACGTGTCGGAGGAGGACATATTTACAAGTCAAGCCTACGTATATAAGCTGACACAGAGTCAGAATCAGCTATGCCAGCCAACTTCTTGGTGCCTAGTTCCAACAGATCAAGGAAATGTGATAGACCACATGTTCTACATCCCAAAGTATGTTGCCTACTCTCGGTCCCCTGCTCTGACGTACATTGCAAAACACCTGACAGATATGAAGATCAGTCCATTGGAGAGAGTGATCAAAGAAAATCCTACAGCGGTCTCAAAAGCCAACTTTGATATGCTTAGGGACAGCATTGACAGTTCCCTGAAGTCACTGATGCTCATATATACCCGGGAGAACAGAATAGAGACAAATTCTGAGAAGTTGGAACACTTGGTACACAACATGGCAAGGACAAATGCTGCAGCAGCTGTTGTACTCATGCAAGCTTCAGGAGGACGTTCAAAGCGAATGCCCTGTGTTCAGCAGGTTAGTCTGAAGATGATAGAGTCCTGCAACGAATGTCCATCCGTCTTGAGCAGCCACTGGCTGACAGGGATCAGCGACACGGCTGTCATCATGAAGCAATATATCAAGGAACATGAATCTCTTGTAAAGGGAGAGGAAACCCTACACGCCACACTTGGCACTCTGGAAGCGTATGTTGCAGAAGTCAACACTCGTGCCACCTCAACAAAAGATACGGAGACAAGACTGAAGGTGGATATCAGTGACAGAAATATTGGGAGTCAAAGCTCACTATCATCAGGTATCCAGCCAGAACAGAAGCCACTGCAGGGGGGCCAGAAGAAGAAGAAGAAGAACAAGAACAAGAACAAGAAGATGACAACGACGGAGACAGCGGGGCCGGTGAGCGGGGACATGTCAGTCCCGCTGACATGTTTGAATCCAGACAAAGCAAACAGTTTCAACAGGGAGAGTGTGACTGGTGTGGATAATCAAACCATCATGGTTGGGAGCCATTCTGCTCTCAGTGAGATCAACGCAGTGCCACCAGCTCCAGGCAGCAATAACGTCAATGATTCTGAGCACGTATCAAAGCTGGACGTGAGCCTACATGGTGCATCAATCAAACCTAGGAATACAGATGGAGGACTTGGAAATTCACAGACTTCTCATCTGCTCAGTGACCATGTACCAGAAGACAAGCATCAGGCTTCTGCTCTCGAGGTCTCTGGTTCAAGCAAGGAGATGACTGAAGCACCTTCCAAGATAGAAAATGGGTTCCATGTCACCTTCTCTGACAGGCAGTCTGATAATGAGGGTAGGTCTCTGGATGAGGAGGAGTGTAAGCCCCCGAGTTTGAAAAGTAGAAGCAGGGGAAACAGTGGTGGAAAATCCTCCCCAATCCCAAAGAGATTGCCTGATGTCCAATGCCGTGTGGCCAATATGGACGCAATAGCTACAGGTAAGACAGCTGTGAGCCATGATAGAGAGTCAATCTCGCCCCTTGACACCCCCTTGAGTTCCAAAGAACATTCTATGGATCTGCCTGTTTCCTTAGAACCCAGTGTCCCAGGAAATGTTCTTCTAAACGGCCACCCTTCTGCACCTGATGGGTCTGTACAGATGAAGTACTCTAGGCTAGTGACAGCTGAGTTGGATACCAAGTATGAGCTCACTGTTGGCGTGGAAAGCACAGAGAAATGCACACTTAAGAAGGTCAAAAGCTTACCGACCCTGCCAGTATCTTCCACGGGGGTATATACTCCCGGTCGAGATCGTCGGAGAGCGTCAATCTCTCACCTCATACCAAGAGATAGACACCTACCGTCACATGACGCTTTGTCGGATCTCCCGGCAGCCGTCGATCAGCAAAGCATGATCACATCAGGGGATGACCGCAAAGAAATTGTATTTCCCACGCTCAACTCAAAGATCATTGATGGGGTGGAGGAAGACAATCCACCTGATATACATGCAGGTTCAGAGGAAGAACCCACAGGTGATTATTATGGCAGCGGTTTCCCTGGTATCCCACTCTCTTTGACAGAACATCCCCGTGTTGGTGACGGGGAAGCAGCCACATTCGTCCCATCCTACCCCGTTCCAATGGCCCCTACACCCTATGATTGGAGAAGGAAGGCTTATACTGGAGTGTTTGAATATCCACAAGGGTATCATAGTGATCCGTCCTTGTACTATCAACAAGGGCAGCCACACCCCAGACCTTATCCCCCTCCAGGACACTAAGATGAAGACTTTCATGTAAGAGAGAGGGAAAGCAGGCTTGTTAGTCAGTAGTTACCTGGGGCTCAAGACGGGATTGGTGATTGTGAGTCTGGTGCGGTATTTGGCATGTTGAACTGCCCAGTATAGCAAGAGCGAGTTATCCTTGTCTACAGTCTTTCTAGACCTCTCCTACTTGCTGGAGTCTCTCACTTACTCTAATTACATAACTAAGGAATGCAAAAGATGGAGGACTGACCTGAAATGGGTTAGCCTTACTCCAAGATCACCCCTTTGAGTGTATGTGTGCCAACTATTGATGATCTGTCACCTTCCTTCATTGAAACAAGGCTCTTCTTCCTTAATACAACCATCTTGGTAGATACCCGTCAGGACCAGACATCGAATAGTCTGTGTCAATGAGCTATGACAACGACGCCTTGTAGGAAACAAACCTAGTAATGTGGCATATCAAAGAGATCTGTATAGATCAATGAAATGTATATCAAATGATATAAGTAAGAGAATACAAAATACATTCCACAAGACATCTGTGAGAAAGGACTACTTCTATATAGTAAAAAGAGAGCGGAGGGATACCAATGTGGGGACACGTGTCGGAATAGGAAAACCAGCGCGGATGCAGATGCAATCGGGGATTTCCACTTTTGCATAGCTGTTAACAGATTAACAGTCAGATTACCTCTGTGTACAAGGGCGGGACAGCCAAGTAGGGGCGTTCATGCAGAAAAAAGTCCAGGGGTTGAGTCCACCGTGTGGTGCTTAGCATCCGTACTGCTTGAGGGGGAGTGTTGGAAATAGGACAACCAGCACGGATGCAATTGGGGATCCCCACTTTTGCATAGCTGATAACAATACGTGGTCTGATAATGTAAAGTGGAGGAAGAGCGAAGTAAGACATTTGTTGATAAGCAGACACGGGATGTGGAAAAGTGGGAAGAGGTGGTAAGATATCAATAAGGCGTAGTACGAGAACGGTGTGATACCGACACAGGAATGGTCTACGGGGACGGTATGGTATCTGAATTGGTAGTATGACCACTAGGTACTACCCGTGATCCTGACAATGCCACTCGAACATCTTGGATGTGTGTTCTCTCCACATCAGTCTTTCTCACTGTGTCATCACCCATAAGTCGTTCATCTGGTGACATTTTCCTGGTGTTCCGTCATCTCTCACATCACGTGTCACCCTATTCTTGGAGGAATCTATCTGTACTCATACCAAGGGGATTCGAAAGAGTCAGGTCTTATTGATTGTCAATCTGCGTCTACATACTCGATGATTCAGATTGTTCCCAGACCTGTCTTTGTACTCATTGACCAGGGACGCTTGACGAGATAACATCTGATCAAGAATCAAGCCAGACCCCGCTTTCAATTCAGGGGTATTCCGTGCGAGCATCTGACACCTGAACATCTGATGTATTCATTACGGTAGCCTCTCTTCCATAGACAGAAACACTTGAAGTTCAATTGGTGTAAGGGGAACTACTCCTTCCAATAACCACATAATTACTCATGACTGCACAACACTCCTACCTTTTGTGCTTTCAACTAAATGGTGTTGTATGAATAGGTCAAATTGGCCATGATTGTAATTCCCAGGTTCAGGTGCAGTGGCGTCTTTACCTTCTTCTAGCCTTTCTGTCTTACTCCCCCTCCACGCTTTGTTCCAGTACTTGGTCATCCACAACCCCACAAGTAGCGGAAGAAGCAGTAAGCGCCACATTCTCACTTTCCGACCTAAATCCGCACCTTTGATCCGAGCGGAGATTGTTTCCCAATTGAAGCTCCATGCCCCTAAGACTCCTCATCTTCTCATGCTTGAGACTATCAGTAGCAGAACAATTTATACAATACTCTGACACATCTGTGCTTGATTCAATTGATTTGTAACGCACGGCTAACATAATGTCCACAGACTCCACACGAGAAGCACAAAAGCTACTGAGACGCGCTAAAACCTATCTCAATCCTAAAGGTTGGTCCATAGTGTTGAAGTCCACCAAGGATGGAAAGTCTGCAATTGCGTTGTTTGCAACTGTTTCCGGTACCAGAATTCCGTCCAGTGTATCCTTGAGAAAACCCCTCGCTGGGAGCCGTATTGATTGGGAGAAGGATTTTAAATTGCAAATGTCCACCAGTCCAATGGAACAAGTTGAGGCTATAGGTAAAGGTGTTGAGTTCATTCTGACCTTTGCCTCGACTTGCATTGACGTGTTGCAAGAGGTGTCTGATCCCCAAGGTTTGGCCCAAAAAAGAGATATGATTAACAGCGCAGGGGAGTCTTGGTTGAGAGGAGCTAGTTCTCTCCTTCAAGCTTCAAACGGGGAGATGTCAAGAGTTACACCCTTTGTTAAATCCTGCCTGTTGATGAGGACCACCTATAAGAAACTGGATGATGAACAATGCATCAAGATGTGGCAAAATTATTTGGAATACCTCAAAATATTGGCTTCTGATTATTTCAGACATTCAACGTCAGGAGAGGTCGAGACAGTGTTGCAGGCAGTGATCCAAACCCTATCAGACACAATAAAGTCCACTGTGTTTCCTCAGGAGCTGGTCCAGGACACTACATGGATGGAGCCAGCACCCGTGAATAGTTCCTCGGGCACAAATGGGAAAGAACAAAAGTCCGGTCTGAGCAAGGCTGAAAAAAGACGAGGAAAGGCAAGAAGAGCAAAGGAGCACCAACAGCAAAGGAAGGAAGCTGCAGCTACCATTGGCACGACTACACATGATAGTGGTGATGAACATGTTCAAGACTCTGCTGAGGTCAAGACTACAAGTGGTATTGTCACACCAAGAGAATCATCTTTTGGTCCCTCTAAGGATACTGATCAGTCCGAACGTTTGGGCCATCCAGATCAGGATCAGCTATCATGGACACAAGTGTCAAAACGTCAAGGCAGGGAGAGGGAGTACTTAGGAGGGGTGAATGTTGAAGAGGATCCCAAATTGAAAGTCCACCCTGCCAATCCTGATGAAACAAAGGTTGAATCAACATCTACTGAGACTACTCCCACAATGCCAGTGTTATTCATTCCGCCAGGGCTTGCAGACGACCTGAAGAGGTTGGGGTGGACAAATTGGTACAATGAGCACTTCCCTCTTCTTTCATCAAAATGTAGTCAGAATGATGTCAACAGCAAAGAGGTTACTATTAGCTCTCCAGGTGTGACTCCATCATCTTCTCCAATAATCAAGCCAGATAACACTATGGAAGAATCACAGGCAGCAACACATTCAGGAGATGATTTGTCACCTCAAAATTCAGAGATAATGCTCTCACCTTCTCTCCCAGAAACCCCTTCAGATGTAATTCCAAATGACCTTGCATGGTCTTCTCAATATGATGTCATGGTGGTGGTAACCCATCCGGGTGTTGATGCACCTGCTGCGTTCATCAGTGTTCCTATTGACCAAATGCAAGAAATATTCAGAAGCGAGTATCCTGGTGAAGGGTGGCAGCGGGCCTCAAAAACAACTACAACCTCTCCTGGTCATCAGCATGTTGGCCCTTTACTTCACATGACTCCTGGTGGTCTCATGGAGGTGGCTTATAAAGGTTATTTCGTATCTGGTGACAACAGATCTCAATAGAAAAAATATTCTTTTTGATAATCCATGACTAGGAAGCATCAAAGAGCTTCCTATGTACGAGGCTGAATATGGTACTTCTCGGGACAAGATTGTTACGGGGTAACAACGAATCGAGAGAACTCCATCGAGTTCGACGGATTAGGAAGGAGAACGGCGAGAGTTGGAGGCAGTGCTGCAGTAGGTAGGGACGGGTTTTCCCTTTTCGAGATTTTCCCACTGGGTTTGCTCAAAAGCGGTTTTTCACCTGTCCGAGTATGTACATAGACGCTTGCAGTAGTGGAGAAGAAACGGATACCTGTAGACAAGTATATAGTACAATCAGCAAAGTACCAACTTTGCTGATTCTTCAATGTCATTCTTTGGCTACATCGATTGCAGAGGAGACACAACCCATTAGCACCAGAGATACATAGACTTCCACGAGAGTTCCATCGACTTCGACCCAACCTGCGACTTAGTCATCGTGTTTCCAGTACCGTTACAAAGATCTTATGGGTCCTATTGTAGGTAGTGAAACAGAATGAGTTGCAGAATTAGAACTGGTTTCTTTGTGAAAACTCAATCAATACCTTGCATGTTGAATATGTAATGTATAAATATGTATACAGAGTACCTATTGCTAGGCCAGAATGTCAAACAATATTCCTTCTCTCAGTGCAGTCTGGTGTCCATCACAAACTATGTAGCACTCATATCTAGCCCATCATTAGTATCAGCACGGAACTACCATAAAAAAGCTTCCTCCATCTGTTGAGGACCAGTGTTGACAATATCATCACTTGTACAATTTTCTAAACCATTGTTCAGCTGGGATGGATCATATCATTGTTCATAAATCCCCTCTGTGATTCATTTGCTATGAAATACACAAAAGATATTCCCTCTTCCCTAGATGATCAAGTTACATGACTTCAACTGAGTCTCATAACCCACATTACGAGTGTTTTTCAATCCGTCAGAGATGATTCACAGTTTACCATTCTTCAAATGACCCATGGTCAATGTAGAGATCGTTCCGTCCGCTCAAAAATTCGCCCAGTTGGAAGTGAGTTTAATTAATCCCGATTCCCACACAGAAAAGATCATGTTACTGAGGAAAGAGACCAAAATTGGATGCATTGTTCACTTAACTTATCAAGGATGATAAAAACACATTACCTCTATTTCTTCTTCTTCCCTCGAGTCGACGCAGACTCTGGTGGCGGTACAGGTTCTTCCCCTTCGTAGAAAATAGCAGTGACGACTATCCTAGATCTTTTCAATTCCGGTTTAGGTCGATGAGAATCAACAATGTTACCGTGTGGATCGAGTGGGATCTAATTGTCAGAGACATCTCCTTCGTACACTGTACGAGTCACGTCGGACGGTAGGATTATTGGATCGATCAAGATGAAGAGTCATCGTGGAGGAAAGTTAATGACAAGGATGATATCGCGATACACTCATCGTAGACGAGCTGGAGGATCAAGAAGGGTAGCGAGAAGGAGAGACAAGACGAGGCATTTATGTAGGTTGGCGTTACTTATAGAGATGATATTGTGATACGCTCCTTGTTTGCCGGTCACAGGATGAAAGTGGAACAGATAGGGGGGCCACCGGTATGAGTGAGAGGGTGGATAAAGGGAGATTTGTGAAGAATGAGAGCGGAAGTATGGGGAGGACGACACGTATGAGCAAGAGGGTTGATGATAAAGGGAGTATTTAATGGTCTCAAAAGATAGTCGAAGAGTAAGGAATGAAACATCTCGGGGGAAAGAGAGGGGTTATGGAGATGAATGACGACGTTGACAAGGGGAACCAAGCGAGATTGAGGTTCTTCATGCTCAAACAGGGAGGTAGAAAGGACGGGGGAGAGAAATAATAAGAAATCAAGCTTAGGGACAACGAGGAATATGAGATTGAGGAGAATCCACACGGTCAGGACAAATCGAGCAAAAAAAACTCACCTTCGCTTCCTCTTTCAAACAACTTTTTCCAGGTTCTTTATCCCCTTTACCTCTTTCTAAATCTAATTCCCTACCTAATACATCTCGGATAATCACCAACCCTCTATCCCATTGTACCGCCTTATTCTTTCCCTTCCTCTCCCTCTCCCCTTCTCTCCCTTCTGTATCACTATGCGGAGACGACCTTTCACTGCTTTCAATTTCAGGGGATGATCGGACGGTTTTTATCCTTTTATTCGGTCTAGGAGTTGAATAATCATCATCATCACCCGGTCCTCTAATCCGTTGAACAATCTCAATCGTTGGTCCTCTTTTGATTCCTCTTTCCACTTGTTTCATCTTTGTCTTTCCACTTTGGGTGTCTTTCTTGCTCTCGGCATCATTACCATCTTCGGATTTACCGTCAAACTCTACAACTTTACCTAACACAGGAGATTCAGAACCATTCGGATCGACAGATTGTACGGATTGATTCGTGATTTCTGATGAAGATGGTGAACCGGACCTTCTTTTAGCTCTTTGACCTCTAGAAGCTTTCTTTTCCTCTTCTTCTTTGTCCAAAGTTGTCCTTATTTTACTAGTTGGTGATGGAGGTCTGGGACCGGGACGTCTAATGATTTGTCTTTCTATCGCACAGAGATATACCTCATTCTTAGCGGTATTTCTTGCTGTGGCCGTTCGAAGTTCTTTTTCCGACATGTCAGGAGCTATAGAAGGAACAATTATCGGTGTCTTGGTCGTTTTGGGTTGAGCAGGGGGTAGAGGTGGAACGAGAGTTTTGAGACTGCGTTTGGGTCTGGTAGATTTGGGTGAAGAAGTGGGTGATTTGGGTGTTTTGTTTTTAGGACTACGAATTGTCTTTTCATTTCTATCCGCCGCGGTCGATTGAAGGTCTTCTGGCTTTTCTTTCTGCGGAGTTGATTTGGACTGCGAGAGGACTGAAGATGCGATAGCGGATGAAGACACCAACTTGGAGGATTTGGAGAACGGAGAAAAAGGAGGTGAAATTGAGGAAGATGGGTGAGGTAGAATCATAGAAACATCTTCAGCATCGATACTACTCCCTCTCAACTCTGTCGATTGAGGTTCGACGGTAGAAGCCGATCGAGTAGCTGAAGCTGGTGGACCATAAGAGGGAGAAGGTTGAACTAAACCAACGTCTTGAGAGGCTGGTTTCTGGGTGAAGGCACTGACAGGACCAGTTGAAAAGGTTTGTTGACGTGGGGTAAAACGAGAAGGAGTACCGAGTTTGTACATCCCACTCGGGGTACCTATAGGTGCGGCGAGACCTTTTTTCCATGCCATCCCAGGTGAACGGAAAGAAAATGATTTGGGTGTGGATGTCACAATCGTCGACGAATATGAATCAGTGACAGTTCTCTGATTTTGAAGTTTCATCCTCGATGGTAGACCTAGGACGGGTCGAACGAGAACGGTTGTACTCCCCCCACCGTTGTACACGCTCGAAGTGGCTCCTGGAGTATTTTCAGAACTTCCTGATATGAAAGTATCGGTGTCTTGGCGGGACGAACTGAAGAAATGTGATATGATCGGAGGACCCATGGAGGTGGATGGTCCACTCGCTGCGACGACAGAGGTAGTCGGACCTAATGGTTGTCGGGTGGTGTGGACAGATGTGGGTCGTTTGAGAGGGTTCATTTCCATTGGCACTGCCTTTCGCGTCGCTGTAGTCACAGAGGTGATGCGTGCGACTGAGGGGGCTCCTAGAGGACGAGGTAATGCTGAAGTGGTGGAGTGTGGACGAACGTGGGATGGTCCCATGGACCGAGGAACTAAAGCCGGTCGAGGGACAGTGGTGGAATTGGGTAATTTAGACTTGACTGTGGCCAAGGTCTGCTTAGATGATGATATCTTACTAGGATGTTCACTCGGGGCACTTTGGTTGGTAGTTGGACGTCGCACAGATTTCGAAGGTGCCTTATTGGGTAAGACGGTCATATGTATCGATGAGCTTGACACATTTCTCGTGTGCCCTGCCCCACCATTCGTGTTCGGACGGATGGCATGACCAGAGTGTATTTCGGGTTTTGACGTTACAGGTTTATGCCTCGCCCGACCTCCGTTAGAGGTGGAAGGGGCACTGGAACTGGCAGTCGAGGTCGCCGAAGATGATGAGACAGTACGTTGAGGAGGTCCCATGGCACCAAGTTTGGTACTTACCGAAGCGTCCAATTGACCTCTTATTGAGATTGCTCTGGCAGCGGCGGCGGCTTTCTGCGTACCAGCGAGTTTCATTCCAGTGGAAGGTTTGAGTACTCTACTGCTCGTCTTGTTGGCGGGCATGGAGTGCGCAGAGTGAGAAGGAGGGGCGGCGACCGTTGTGTGCGAAATGTGGACTGGTGTTGGAAGGGTGGTAGGGAGAGGAGCGAGAGGTCGGGGAGTTTTAGTCTTTGGAGTCTGATGGGTCTTGACAGGAGTTTCTGGGAACTCCGTAGAGGTAATCAAGGAGGTTTTTACATATGACTCATCAGATTCGCGATTTGTAATGGTGAAAGAAGGACTTGATGGTGACTTCAGTTTCGGACTTGAAATCATTGATAGGCGTTGGGGTATATAAGGTGGAAGAGACAAAGGAGAAGAAAAGATTGGTGAGTTCGAAAGAGGTACATCAGATGATCGGAATGGTGAGAAATGTTCTCCCCTTATAGGTCCTGAAAAGTGATATTGCATGGGTGGAATGACGACTGGACCTCCTCTGGCCAATTCTATAGACCAATCGTTCTCATCATTTTCCTCTCGACCGTTTGTTGAGTCGGACAAGATAAGGGTGGATATATCATGTTCCGAAAGAATGTCCTCGGTGGGTTGAAGAGGTTGCACAAAAGGGGGAGTCGTTTGAAGATCTATGTCATCCGGATGATCGGATTCTTCTGTATTCGAAAGACCAAAATCCACTGGGGGAATCAGAGCAGAATCGTCGTTGATCGCTTCAGGGTCGGAGAAGTCAGAAAGCATCAATCCGCCCATATTTAATTGAACGACTGGATGTTAAGCATGACTCTTCACACGCGACTGACACATCTGATAAGATATGCTTGATAAAATCAACATGATCTAGCGCTCGTCAAAGTGAGATTTGCAATATGAACCGTTATACTCGCGATCAAAGCAAATGTTCGTTGATGAACAAGTGATAGGGCAGCTAGTTGGGTTGAAAAGTCATTGAACAAAAAAAGACCAGGGCTCACCTTCATCCAACTCCAAATCCAAGGCATCAAAGCCCATTCCGAGACTGAAAGTCAAGTCCTCCTCTGGCCCAATCTGCACTTCATCCTCACTTTCAACTCCATCGCCATGCACGGCGGTGTTTTCCTTGTCCGAATCACTTTCAGTCCCATGACCCCTTTCCCACATTCCGTCCTCTGCCGAAGAGTCAGAATGAGACTCGTCATCGTCGTTCACTACTATCCCCAGCTGCTCCGAGCTTTGGGGGGCGATGATTCCACGGCCTACACCAGAGGATTGAGGAATAGAAGTTCGTGGGTGGGAAACAACATGAAGCGAGAAAGAAGCATTCAAAGGTGAAAGACGTTGAGGAGATTGAGCATCGCATAACTTTTGTCTGCAACTCGAAGATCCAGCGATATCCTGAGATTCGGAGTCCCTGTTCTCTTTACCAGAAAGTAGAAGAGTCTTCCGTCGTAAGAACTCCCTAGAATCTCTTTTCTTCACTCGGGTAAGGCGTGATAAGCGTGGTCGATTCGAAGGAGAAGGAGGTAAAGGAGAGGGTAGGGAGGAGAGTTTAGCGAGATGATTTTCCTCTTCTGGGTCGTGTGATCCGAAGTAGACTCCCCCTTCTTCATCCGAGGAGTTATCAGTGTCGGTATGACTTCCGCGTGGTGACATTGAACCTATGGAACGAATCGATTGAGGCGAAGAAGGGAGAGAACGAAGATGACGAGAGGGTAGAGAAGGGGTTGATTGATCCGTCATGTTTATCGGTCCATTCGACTCGGGGGAAGTGAGAGGGTCTAGGTGATATCTCGCTTAGCCAGTATGAGTGACAGGGTACAGCACAAACGGTATGAGCAAGGATGGGATATAGGTATAGCGGGGGTAAGGGTAATGAGGGAGAGAGCAAAGTAAGTCGCGTTGCAGTGGAACATGTTTGTGCCCCCGTTTTGGCTCCCCTGATAAGCTCATGCAAGAGAATAATGACGTGTCATTCGGCTGGTAAAAGTGGCAGTGTGGCAGCGTGGCACTTGACCGCGTCCTGTGGCACTTTCCGAATTCACATTGATCCTTTGTTCCGCGCGCGCGTGCCCACAGTCAGCCAAATTATACAGGTATTAACATGCATGGGCACATATTGACGGATAAGACAAATGAGGGAATGAATAATGGACTTTTGTACATGGCATGTTGTGATTCAGATGGTACTACCAATTTCTATTGACAATGGTCGCCTCTTGGTCTAGTCCCTTTGATTCATGACCAGATGCAGGGTAACAGGGAGGAATCACTAAGGCGTCGGACAAGACGCCCCACTGGATTAGAGGATGTAGCTACCAGAGAATTGTGACTGCATCTCTTCTGAAGCAAATGGTGAGAGATGGGCCACAACAAGCTCTCACTGCCACTATCCTCAATGATCTCCTTGACTTTGGTGGGTTCTTCATCCGGGCTGCCAAGAGGGGAAGGGGTGGAACGGTTGTGATCAAATTGGATGAGCAAATGCCAAGAATCTTGTGTGTCAAGATCACTGGACTTGTCAATGGAGTCTTGTGAGAAGACTTTGGTTGTGTTCTCTGTGGTATCATCCTGTTTAAATGGTATTTCTTCAGCTTTGAGGAGGATTGCTTGGGTGATGGGCCTCAAGGCTATCTTGTTGACTGAGTTCTGCTCTGCAGCTTTATCATTTCCAGAGTTTGGATGGTCACTGTTCGTTGGAGTCCCAGCCCTAAACTCCACACCGAGTTCCTCGCCAAGCATCTTGGCAAGCTCTTCCTCTCGCTCTCTGGTAAGTCCCTGCCTTTCCGGGACGCTACAAGACAGGAGGCCTGTAAGACCTTTAATGAGGGCTTGCTGCTTTTTCATGTCTGTAATCATGTTATTTGCACTATCAACGGGGGCAATGTATTCAATGTGAAGACCCTTCATGGCCTCTGATGGGACTTCACTTAGCCACTGTGAGGCTGAAATCTTGGTACGATGCTCCAGATCAGGAAACTGTGGGATCAAACTTTTACTCTGGTGATCCGGCCCCCCAAAGCGCTGAAAACAGAGTGTAGGTATGTGTTATTCAGTAACAACTCTCGGTGTTGTGGGATTCCCAAGGACGTCATCATTTCTAAGAGGGTGGTCTGTTTGGACCTCTGGGTGATGGTCTGCCTTTTAGTGCAGGAGAATGGTGAGTCTTGGAAATTTGAAGGACTAATATCCTGTGGACAAATGAGCCTACAGTAGAGCTCAGAAGGAGAGTTTGGGTCAAAATTATCTAAGCTGTCAGAGAAATCTGAGCCGTCAAGTGTGTCTGAGCCGTCAGATGTGTGTTCTGTAGGCATGTTAACCAGCATCTGACCCGTGATTGTCATATCCAAATAAGTGCCCCAGAAATGTTTTATGGACCTCCACTCTTGATCAGTGATATTGGGCTCCGCGTACCGCATGGAAAGTTCCATACCGTAGAACTTGGCATCTAGGTCGGCTTTTATCCCCACCGCAGAGGCTGAGGAACTGATCTAACTTGAGATGTAAAAAGCCAGGAAACTCGGTAAGTAGTGTACCTCTACATTGTTGAGGAACCTCTTGTTTGAACCTTGAACACCTTCCACCAACTTAGCTTGACTGTTATCTGACGCATCTCGTATCATCTGGTAAACACAGGCTGGCAATTGAGGGAGTTTGGATAGATGTGGTTTCCAATACTTGGGCAGTAGAGTGCTTGCTCTCCAGAATGTTGGATCAGCCTTCATGCGTGCTGGCACACCATACTCATCGACCGTTGACAGGAAGTATCTATTCTCTTGGGGTTGATATGAGGTGTCATTCCCTGGTGGCTTTTTCAAATCTGAAGGCAATGATAGGATAACATAGTCAGATGCTCCAATATAAGCTGGTGGCTGTAGGTTTTGCGGGAAGTAACTTGAGATTGGGCTATTGGCTTTTGATAGCATGCTGGATAGAGACTGAGATAGTCGAAGTTGTATTAGGATGGAAAGGATGAATGTTCTCACATTCCAGAAGGTGAAGATTATATAGACCAGAGTTTCTCCTCAGATTCCTGATGGTCCTTCCAGTTTCTCATGAAGATGTTAAGGACCCAGCGGGAGATGTTCCACTCCGGAGTGGCACGGTTCAAAATACCCCTCTTGGACCCAGCCAGAGAACCATGCTACTCCGGAGGTGTCCAGACCCAGCCAGAGATTTCGATGCTAGTCAAGCAGAACTACTACCTCTTTAGTAAACATGGTTGACGCTTCTTGTCATTGATAGTCTATCACAGCATGCTCTGTAAGCTGTGTGTAAGTACACAACCACTTCAAGAGTGGCTCCAATTCCGTATGTCCATCACTAAACACTGACTCAAGGAGTACTGGTGTTAAGGAATAAGTCTTAGTTGGTTCAAGGTGGAAGACAAATCATGGAGATTCACTGCTCACATGTAAGGGAGTATGGAACATATGTATTCCATCTGCTATGTATGACTGTTTGTTCCTCCACATCTCAAATGATGATGACTCTCCGGCTGGGTCTGTCAGGGGACTCAGACCACTCTGGAGTGGAACGTCTCCCGTCGGGTCTGATGAGGTCCGTGCAGCTCCGGAGGGGTCCGTCTCCGGCTGGGTCCCTAACAAAGATGCTACTTTTCCCTCTGAAACTCTCTTTCAACCTTATTCGTGAGAATGTGAGAGTCTAGAATCGTCGCTGAAATCGTCGAAATCGTCGTACAAGGTAAGAAAGGAGGGAAGTCCGATCTCACGTTCTCACTCGTGTGAGACCTGCGTGTAGTTGACTGCAAAAACCGGTCACACACGGATCTTGGTCTAAACTGGTTTCAGGATAGAAGAGAACTAGAAGCTTAACTTGAGTCTTCTAATCAGAGGAGAAACTTGGAGTAGAGAAGTGGTGGAGAGGAACGAATGATTTCTCGCCTCCCCCGCTATCTGGCTTGGCTTTTTTCGCCACTTCGACTTCAAGGTTTCTCGAGATGTGTTTGCCCGCCCCAGTTGATGACTACAATCAAACCGATCAAGGACGTTGATGTTTGTTCAAATCCCTCACTCGTCCACATGCACAAAAGGATCAGTGGAATATGAAATGCTGTTGTGCAAGCTAGTCAGAGGTTGTAAGTAAAACAAGATCGGGGAAGTAATTCTCCTGGTAGTCCGCAGTGTCAAGATGATCAAGGTGAAATCACTCATAAACGTTGAGTCACCACTTGTTCTACATTGCTATCTCTGATCTGACATTGTTATGACCTCAATCCTCCAGGGAAGACGTTTATGAAATGCATGAAGCCACAAAGGTGGCTCTGACTGCGCAAGAGACAGAGATGTCTATGTACACGCGGCGGGATGAAAAACTCTGAAGCAAATCTTGGTGAGACGACCTTGCAGGGAAAACCCTACCGCACTATCAAGAGTGAAATCCGTGAGTGAGGCATGAACATCTGTAGGAGGATGTGTGAGCAAAGGGAAGGGGGGTTACAGGGGAATATCAGAGGTAATATGAACAATCATGAGAAATGAGGTAAGAACAGAACAAGGGGAATGTACTGTGGTGGAGCTTCAATGGAGAGACACGCACGCACGTCACATCCTCCGATATCCTCACAGAAATGCACTTCTCCGGGATCCATTGAGCAATAGGCAGAGAGTCATGGATACTTGAGAAGCCCTGGGAAACAAACAAGAGGGTGGGAGACTATCCCGGGAAGTAATCAGGAGTACGGCTTCCTAAGGATCCTGATCTAGTCCGCCTTGCTGGCAGCAAGCGCTTGGACATCTCCACTACCCAATGTTTCACCGAGGGCTCTTTCCAATTCCATTCTTCGGTGTCATGGAGATCTACTATATTTCTGAATTTATCGATTGATCCTCCGTCGTATGTCAGGGTCCTTACCAGATGGGGTCTTCGATTAACAAGGGGCGGATACTGTCTTGTTGAGGTTGGAGGAGAGGGTGATGTTGTGGGATTCAGTATGCTCTGAGATGGGTTGGATGGGCTCACAGACAACTGAGCAAAGGCTGTGCTAGAATATCCAGGCAATTCTGCGTGGGTGAGCGGTTGAGGACAGACCTCACCGTCTCCGGTCTTAAAGGATGCTACATGATTCTGAGTCATGGGGTCTCTGCCAGGGTTACACACTGCAGCTATGTCTCCTGGGTCATCTGTTTCTGTGTCTGAGGTTCTCTGTTGCCCAGTAATAGTAGTGATATTGGGTGGGGAGAACCCTGTAAGCGTTTTTGTCACAACACAACTCCCTGAGTCTATTTGAGTGGTTCTGACTGGTGGTGCTGATTCGGTGGTGGGCTCCTCCACACCATTCTTCCTCCGCCTTCTCCCTGGTCTATGTGTACTCTTTCTTCCTCCCAAGACCACATGAGGATGAGGAGGGGTAGAAGACCCCACTTCTTCACCTTGAGAGCAAGGGAGTTGTGATCGCTGGGAACCTGGTGCCCTCGTAATAGCCTCATCCACTCTTGAACTGTCATTTAGCGGCACCAGAGCAGTGGTTCCCTGACCTTGTTCAAATGGCTGGGTATGGCTGCTGGAGATCAGTTGTTCCAATCCCAGTTCCAGGGTCACTTGGGAATGTTCTTCTTCCTTTACCACTTTGGGTTCACCCTCCCCATGGTCTCTTCCCCCAGTGGCCAAGGGCCCCTGAGAGCTACACGGTTCCGACTGACCATCACTTTCCGGTCTTCTTTTCTTGCCGTGTTTGGTTCTTTTGCCCGTGGGAGTTACTTTAGGTGGACTATTTATCGTCATAGGGTGAGGTGTCTCCACCTCTTCAATCGCAGGGAGAGGTGGAGTGGACACTGAGGCTTTCGTGGCATTCTCACCAGACTCTGTGGGATATTGCCCACCCCACGTGCGCTTCTGCATGGCCACAGCTGGGGGATGGGAGTTGCGGGTTAACCCTAGAACGCTGGTGCCTCGTGTAGCAGGGTGCAAATCTAGACGATAGAAGTCCAGGTGGACCACTGAGGGCTGGCTTTGAGACACTCATGATGCTAGCAATCCTGATACTGACTGATAAGTGCCAGCATGGTTGAGGCACTGAACTCACATATTAATCGATTGTTCTGTTCAAAGTCCTCCAGTATCTCTGAGTAAAGAGTCTTCATTCGGGTATCCCCTGTCTTTGATCTTTCCTTCAGTCCATCACTCCAATTGCTCAGAGTTCGCAACCTGATCTTAAATGATGTTGGCTGGTTGTGCACTTGCTGAGAGAGGAGAGAGCCCACACAGGACAGTGCTGCAGTTGCCCAGCGACGCCACTTAGCCGCTATACCTGCAGAGGATATCAAATGAAAGTATACCTGTTGTTCCAGCATCTGGGCACCATTCAGGATTGTTTCGTAAGAGATATCAGAAAGAACTTCTTGACAGTTGTGTAGCACTGACTGCAACTGTTGGGAGTTGATGACAGGCTTCCAAGGAAGGTGTGCTGGAGTGTACGGGAGAACTTTGATGCTGGGATCCGAAGGAGCCGGGAGAAGGTAGTATTTTACGTCTTGCGGATGGTATTCTGAGTAGTCAGCGTGTACCCGCCCATCACTTCGAGCCTCGTCAGACACTGGGGCGTAGTATAGGGTTACTTCGGACTGAGATGACAGAGGGGGTAAGAAATTGTGTGACTGAGCAGTTGTTGACTTTGAGTCAAGCGTCTTCAGTATGGCAGTCACTTCCTCTGTCAGTGTCTGGGTGCAGTCAATGATTGTTGATAAATGATGAGATGAGAATTGTGTTGACTGAGTGATTGAGTTGAAGTCCTTATATTTGTCTGATCCTCTAATATGGGCTGCAGAGGGAGGAAGGGTAAAGAGAAGAGGAGAGAGGGGGAAGGGGGGAAACACACGAAGGCTAACAACTAAGTAAGTTGAACTCCGTACGTAAATATCCCACCCTTCCCTTGTCCCTGATAGAAGGTGCAAAAGTGATACTACTGGCACATATCCCAAGAGATCGTTCTATCTATCTATTCACATTGTTGAGATTTTGCATAAAGTGATAAGACCCAGAGATTCTACTGGCCACATGCAACTAGTTGTGCCATAACAACTCTATGAGGTAGTAGACTACAGCTCTCTCAAGATGCATTATACACACTGCGTTAAGACGTGAATCGTTCCTTCCGACACGAACCTCTGGTCTTCGGGGGCGAATGTTCATCCGGGAAAGTTTCGGATGGTGAGACTTGCAAGGCTCCGAGAGAACGCCGGCTTCTGTACCCGCAAGTCTTTTGCAATTGCCCAACAGGGGTCCAAGGGCCACTTACCCACATTGTTGTCAGAAGTCCCTTCCCCATTGACTCCATGCGACAAAGGAGCCGAAAGGTACCAATCATCCCTGCGAGCCACATCCCGCACCTCCGTGCGTGTCCATTCATGGTACGGATGAAAGGCACTAAGCACACTCTCAGCAGAGACTGGTAAGTTAGGCTTGGAACTTGAAGGTGCTGCTGCATGGTGATCTTGAGAATTGCTCCGTGACGATACAGGTCTTGGGACCAGGTACGCCTCGGCAGATTTCTTCCTATTCATGGCTTTGGTAGCTTTTTTTTCAACTAAATATGAGTGAGCACTGTCTGTGGTGTACCAGCAATCAGACACATACCATAATCTCCATAAGCTTTGTCATAACCATCTACTTCCTGTAGAAGAGTTGTTAGACGCTTAATATACGGGAGTGCCTTGTCACCAAATATTCCCAATTCTGTTTGGACACGTCTGGTCATGTCCTCTTTCCACATCTTCAAGCCTGCGCCTGCCAATGAAGCAGTCTCAGGATCTACAGAATGTGACAAGCGGACCTGGTGGCAGCGCGCAAACTTTACAGAATCTAGGTATTCCTCCAAGTCACTCATTGCTAGGGGGTTCTTTGTGGACACAGCGTCTGTGCCAAGCGGCCCCTGCCAATCGCGCCACACCTCCAAGCCAAAAACATTTGACATCCGCTCTAGGGCCTCTTCCAAACAAAGAGCAATCTGCCTCTCTTTTTCTTTTATTGAGGAGGGTAGATCAACTGGACGCCATGCTGAGATTCCAACAACATGAGGAAACCGCGGATTCCCTTCAGGGTCAATCATCCAAGCTATTGTCTCGGTGTCCAGAAAGGGGCTGGATTGCTGAAAGCTTTCGGCTGCTGGGCTGCACAAGTCTCCTGTGGGTGGCGCTTCAGAGGAGCCGTAGTCACCGAAGCTCTGGGAGAAGGAAGAGGCTGGCGTGTCCAGGACGTCAGAACTTTCACCGCTCAATGGCACGACATGCAGAGTCTTCAAAAGATCATCAAGTTCACTCTGCGTCTGGTTTGAGTACCAGTCTTGGGGTTGAGGAAGTTCGGCGGTAACTCCACCAGGGAAGCCTGAGGGCTTTGAGAATAAAGCATAATTTCCGCTACCCTCGTGTACACCAGGGATGCCAGGTGGCCGTGGTTTACGCATGCTAAGAGATTGTTGAGTACAAGTGCGGTCAGTCTGATGAGATAACCCAGAAGGAATGACACTTAAGCTGAAGAGAGTGAGGGGATACAAGTCCCCAGATCAACAGAACTGGACTTGAGTGAGTTTCTGTTACGGGGTAACAACGAATCGAGGGAACTCTATCGAGTTCGACGGATTAGGACAGAGGAAAGCGGGAGTTGGAGGCAGTGCTGCAGTAGGTAGGGACGGGTTTTCCCCTTTCGAGATTTTCCCCACTGGGTTTGCTCAAAGCGGTTTTTCACCTGTCCGAGTATGTACATGGACGCTTGCAGTAGGACTGAGAAAAGGAGACGGATACCTGTAGACAGTATATAGTACAATCAGCAAAGTACCAACTTTGCTGATTCTTCAATATCATTCTTTGGCTACATCGATTGCAGAGGAGACACGATCCATTAGCACCAGAGCCCCTAGACTTCCACGAGACCTCCATCGAGTTCGACCCAACCTGCGACCTAGTCGTCGTGTTTCCAGTACCGTTACAGTTTCTGACTTTCAAAACCCTCAAGGGAGGCGTGGAAGGCAACTGCAGTATGTTTGAAGGGAGGGAGAAGCTGTGTAGGAGACTATGTATCCATTGACCGGGTTTCAGCGCAAAACTGAGGACGTGTGGTACTGTATTTGAACAAAATGATACCCTGAGCAATAACAGAGGAAATCTCATGTCGCTCGGTGGATTCAGGGACGAATGTGATAACCTTTGTTTTCAGGGCTGCCATCGCTGCCATGTTACCCTAGTACTCAAGCTTTGTATCAGCCAGCACTTCCACTCATATCCACCCCTTGGACAGAGTACATGTCATATCACCCACACAAGCGTGAAGTGTTTCCGCTAGGTATCCTGCTCCACCTACGTCCGATCGATTACTCCACAATGGCTCCATCTACGAGTCACCCTATCCTCAGGTGGAGTACCTGCTTTATATGAGTACTTTTTCACCCTTCGTGAGGTTGTTAGGTCAGTCTCGGACCTTCTTCCCTTTATGCGATACAACGAGGAGAGAGCCGTTCCAGGTCTTAGGAGTGTCACACGGTCCTCTTCTTCAGCGCTTCGCCCTTCCATTCCAAGTGAAAGCGGACTTTCATCATTCAAGTCTCCACTTTCACACTTGGGATGTCCACCCACTGGGGAGAACAGCGATGAGGCTGATGCGGGTATTGTGTCTGCCCCGCGCATGACGGTGACCCCGTCATTCTGAGAGAATGTATGAGCAAAGGTGTTACGGAGTAACAACGAATCGAGAGGACTCTATCGAGTTCGACGGATTAGGACAGAGAAGAGCGGGAGTTGGAGGCAGTGCTGCAGTAGGTAGGGACGGGTTTTCCCCTTTCGAGATTTCCCCACTGGGTTTGCTCAAAGCGGTTTTTCACCTGTCCGAGTATGTACGTAGACGCTTGCAGCAGGAAGGAGACGAGGACAAGGATAGCCGTAGACAGTATATAGTACAATCAGCAAAGTACCAACTTTGCTGATTCTTCAATATCATTCTTTGGCTACATCGATTGCAGAGGAGACACGATCCATTAGCACCAGAGCCCCTAGATTTCCACGAGACATCCATCGAGTTCGACCCAACCTGCGACCTAGTCGTCGTGTTTCCAGTACCGTTACAAAAGGTGATTGCTGGCACGGTAGTGGTAGACTGTGTGATCTGGTACTCGGGTACACTACTTGTGTCACTGTCTGTCCCACACTTTCCCTGTTCATTAGTCTCCTCACAAGCTGCCGGTGAGGCTGTTTTGTCTGCCTCGTTTGTAGTGATAGACTCCTCCAGCTCAGAGGAAGTTGTGTAGTCCGTTTCCGGGTGCAGAGAGCCCTGATTCTTTGTTATGTGAACACTGGTGAGCTCATAGTCCAAAGTTGCAACTCCCCAGTACAAGTTTGCAACTCCTGCTCGGCAATTCGCTATCAGCTGGTGCTGATGCCCCTTGGTCTGCCGCTTGGAAAGCCGGGACTGATGAGGCCGTGTCTTGTCATCTGGGAATGCTGCTATACTGTTGAGTACCTCATCTATGTAGTGTGATGCGTGATTATCGGAGTGAGGACTTGTCACCCCAAGGCAGCTAGGGGAGAGTGCCAAGCGTTCAAATCTTGCCGGATTCATCGATCTTTGATGGGATGCTCTGAGGAAACTTAGAACCACAGTCCTCACCCATCTCAGCCTGATGTAAATCTCACGAAGTGGAGATGCCATAGAGATTAATGTGTCCTGAAGCGCCTGAGTTGTCTTCTCTTTGTTGACACTTGGGACATTTGAGCTGGTCAGGTCATACATCAAGTTATCAGGGGGACTGTTTGAAGCTTCATGTAGACTGTTCCCGTCATCTGTGCTATTGAGGTGACTCACACCTCTCTGTTTTGCCAAGTTGTCAGCCGGTGAATTAGACTGTATTTTATCAAAATATCTTCTGGATCTCCCTGCTGGTCAATTATCAAAAATATCTTGAACCAAGACTTACTGGTGGTTTCTGCCCAATCAGCCACAGACTCTTGTTCCAGACCAAGTCTCTGTAGTGTCACAGGGTCACAATGTTCTACCGTCCCAATTGCACTCTTCCATACTTGGAACCTTTCAGTGGACTCCTGACGGACAGCCGCATCCGGATTGTATTGCGCCCAAATGAAGTGGCGACCAATATTTCCCAAGGCAGAGACTCCCATCTCACCTACCTGAGACATGCACTGTTGTCGAATCTCTGAAGTCAGGAACATATCATACTTCTGCACTTTGTACCATGTCCAGCACTCATATGACAACCGAGCACACGCCTCAAAGCCTATATGATAGGATTCTAGGGTCCCCAACGCCAGGTCATCAATGTTCAAATGACTTTTGCTAACTCCTGTGAACAACTGGGAGCACAGGTCATCAGCTTCGGTAACTGGGTGATACGACTTCAGTGGTGGGACTGCCTCATAAAGGGCTCTCAATGTCTTGTCATCCTGTGGTAGTACAATAATAGGAAGCTCTGTTGTTTTGAGGGTGAAGCCAAGAAAGCGTCGGAACCGTGTCAACATTGGAAGAGTGGTTATGCCAAGTATCAACCTGCACGTCTTGTCACTTCCGAGTGTAAAAGGAGGAGCTCTCGTCCGAGTACTGTTTCTATCTTTCTGTGTGTGAGCCATACTTAGAGGTCTCCTGATGAAGAGAGATCTGGGTGAGATGGGGCATTCTGGGCTTGGTTTGAATTGGAGGTAGGAAGGCCATACACACATAATGGAGGGTACATAGATACTCCTCGCATCGTTGCGTGTGGTATCTCTCCGTGTATGATTTACTTCCTGCAATATGCGCACTGGACTGTCCTACACCTCCTGAAACCTCCCATGTGTCATACATCACCTATCTGCCACTTGTCAAAGTGCTTTTGCGCAATCAGACACTTGAAACGCATACCCCTGAATACCTCCACCTCCACCTCCACATGCTGGAACCTTCCACCCTTGCCTCCACCTTTACCTCCACTTGCTTATCAAGCCTCCACACTCTGGAACATTCTGTGCCTGCCTCCACCTTCCCAAAGTAGTAACTCTGGTTGATTGCTGAGTGTTAGAATAACGCCACATACGGTGTTATACGGATATTCGGAAGTGGAGCGGATGTTTATAGAATGTTCCATTCCATCTCTTTCGATGCATCTCGTTTCTTCATCGTAAACGTAAACCTCAACAGATTAACAGTCGGATAACTGCTCAAAGCTCTAACTAGTGCAATACGATTATTATCTTACGATGAGCGAAAGTCGTTCGCACGATCGTATAGTCGGCCTGGAGAGTATTCCAAAGCTCATCAGTGTCTCTGACTATCACAAGTGGAAGCTTGCGATCGAGAACTACCTACTTGTAAACGGTTGCCTCGCAATCGTACAAGGAACAGATGTCGAACCCTTTCGAAAGTATACACACGAGTTCGACGATGGTGGAAGACCCCTCGAGATCAAACGTACAGAACGTGCGGGTTCCGTCATGCCGACATCGAACGAGATCACCGGTGACAAGAAACCTCTCACAACACGTGAGGAAGACAAGTGGCAAGAATGGCGCAAACGTGAACTTCGTGCACAAGGCGCCATCATGAGTACGGTCGATAGCGGCTTACTCGTGGATGTACGATCGCATAAGACCGCATATGACATGTGGCAGTGGTTGGAGAAAGACATGCAGTTGAACACTAGCGAACACCGTACAGACGTCGAACGTCGTCTACGAAACCTTCGTCTGCCTTCGAACACGACCGCAGAGAAGATGACAAGCCATCTACAAGCTTTCAATATGTTATGGTTGGAAGCATTAGATTCAGGATGCAAGTTTGGCGATAACGCACGTACGGATTGGTTTCTCGATTCGCTTTCTTCGGATTTCAAGGTCGTACGTACATTGTTCATGAACCTACCCGAGAACGCAAAGACCTGGGCCGAAATCCGTCGTATGTATCAATCCGAGATCGCAGATCGCGGTCGAGTCATGGAAGCAGTGCAACTTACCCGATCCTCTCAAGTCAACACTACACGTATCGTACGTACAGGTGGTAGTAATCGTACGAATCGTACGGAAGAAGGAACTCAAGGATCAGAGGATTGGAAGAAGACAGTAGAGTGTCACTACTGCAAGAAGAAAGGTCATATCAAGGCCGAATGTCGCAAGAAAGCGCGCGATGATCGTCGTGGAGACAAGAAACGTGCACGTATAAGTGCCGCGCAAGCCACCGAGAACGTCGAAGATGAACCTCAAGGTGATGATTTCTGGATGGCTTCATCAGCATCCCTCGTATACGAACCGAGCGTACAGCAATCGATTGTGTCGAACAATCTCGAACCAGAATTTCTACTCGATAGTGGTGCTACACATCATATTACGCCCTATCGTGCGCTTCTTACGAACATCGAGAAGCTTCCCGGACCTGTACGATTCGGACTTGCGAGTGACAATACGACTATGGAAGCCGTAGAGAAAGGAGAAATCTACCTTATCCTATCTTCGGGTAAAGGCTTACGACTTACGGACGTTTACTATGTGCCGAACGCAAGACAGAACCTACTATCTACAGGTCTTCTTCGTAAACGTGGATGGCAAGTCGACTTCATGCAACAAGAGCTCCGTAGACAGGGCGTACACGTTGCTATGCGAGAGGATGGTGTCCTCAACTACGTACGATTCGGCTCAATGGTCCGCAAGACCAAGCCTGGAGTGATCAATACGATCACGAGTATGGGAGCTCTTCAGAGCGAACACAATCGACTAGGTCATATTGGTCGCAAGCGTATACTCGAGCTTGCACGTCAGGGGGAGCTTCGATATTCAATCGAACAGCTCGAGAACGATACGTGGCGTACAAGTGACTGTTCAGTCTGTCAAGAAAGAAAAGCTGTTCGACTCTCGAAGGACGATACATCTCCACGCGGTACACGACCTTGCGAGATGATCCATTCAGATATCTCTGGTCCTATCAAAGCTTCTGGTCAAGGAGCATGCTACATCATTACGATGTACGACGATTATTCGAAAGTCAATCGTGTAATCACGTCCGCAGATCGTAAATGGGTAATTCACTACCTTAAGGAATTCGTTACGAAAATCGAAAGACAGCTTGGAGGTGTCGTACGCTTCTTACGTACGGACGGAGGTTCAGAATACATGAGCGAGACTGCTCGACAATGGTATACGTCTTCGGGGATTACGCATCAAGTCTCTCCTCGATACACACCCGAACTGAATGGTGTGGCAGAAAGGTTCAACCGTACACTAAAAGAAATGGCAGCATCAATGCTCTCAAGTGCGACTCTCGATAATTCGTACTGGGATTTCGCTGTACGATACGCTTCAGTAATGATGATGAAGACCAGTGAAAGCAAAGATGGAGTCAATTCATGGTTTGCTCTTACGGGTCGTAAACCGAGTCTCGCGAAGTCTTTCGCATTTGGAGAACTCGTATATGTTCAAATCCCTCGAGATGTACGAGGCAAGTCTCAACTTGATATTAATAAAGGTGAACTCGCACGAGTTCTCGGTCAGGAAGAAGGAATGAGCGGTTGGGTTATACGATTCGAAGCTACTGGGACAATCGTGGTTTCTCGAGATGTACGAAGTGCTTCGGAATACACGGTACCAGCACCGATCGTACACGAACGATTACCAGCACCAATCCCAATACAACCAGCTCCCACTCCTACGCCTACGGTCGATGTACGACCTGATCCATTACCAGAACCACTTCCTGCCCCTCCACGAGCGCTTACGCCTCCTATCGAACAACCCGAACAACGTACCGAAGAAGAGCCTGCAGCTCCTGAAGATGCAGCAAATGAACAACCTCGCGATACCTTACGGCCTCTTTCGCCACCTCGTAGACATTCTGAACGAATTCGAGAGAGAGGTTTGAACGCGCAGACAACGTTCGCAATATCAGAAGTCATGATGATCTCAGCCATGTCTGGAAGCGCGACCGTACCGCAGACTGCACGAGAAGCTCTGCACGGTCACGATGCTTCACGATGGGCTGAAGCTATGGAGAAAGAATTATCAAACATCGAATCAAAGAAGACATGGGAAGAAACAGTACTTCCTGTAGGTCGTCGTGCAATAGACTCACGATGGGTGTTTGCGATCAAACACGATGCGGACGGAAATGTCATCAAGTACAAAGCAAGACTAGTTGCCAAAGGCTTTTCTCAACAGCCTGGTATCGACTTCGAAGAAACGTACGCACCCGTAAGCCGTATGGTCAGTCTTCGTTTACTTCTTACGATTGCGGCAGCGTACGATCTCGAATTACATCAAGCCGATGTAGAGGGTGCATACTTGAATGGTAAACTTCAAGAAGAGATCTACATGCGATATCCAGAAGCCATGGTTCGAAAACCTGGTTGCGATGTTCTACGATTGAAAGGTTCTCTATACGGACTAAAACAATCTGCACGAGTATGGTGGATTGAACTCGGAAATGCTCTTTCGAAGAACGGATTCGTACGACTCGAATCTGACTGGGGAATGTACTATAAGCCCTCAGATGGTCAGCAAGGACCTATAATAGTACTCGCATACGTAGACGATCTCGTCATCGCTGCACGGAACAAGACTACGATTACGAAGCTCATGTCCTATCTGAAATCGAAATGGACAATGACAGAGGTTGGAGAAATGTCACAGATCTTAGGTTTAAAGGTCGTACGAGATCGTACACGAAAGATCATACATCTATCTCAACCAGCTTATATTGAATCAGTAGCAAAACGCTTTACGGCTGCTCAACGATCGTACACGACACCTCTTCCCACTAGACCTGAAACTGTACTAGTCAACTCGCACGTTCTCAATACTTCGACTGGATATTTACAAGTAATAGGATGTCTTATGTGGATGGCCGGTGCAACAAGGCCAGATATCTGCTATGCGGTACGATATCTCGCACGATCCTCTGCGCAACCAACTCAAGCACATTACGATCTAGCTCTTCGTGTCATCTCGTATGCGGCACATTCGAAAGACCTGGGTTTGGTCTTAGGGGGAGCTATACATGGACTTGAGGGATGGGTTGATGCAGATTACGCTGGATGTACGGAAACTCGAAGGTCCACAACAGGTTACCTGTTCAAGTTCTGTCATAGTACAATCCAATGGCAATCAAGAAGACAAGCCACAGTTGCGCAATCGACTCTCGATGCGGAGTATACGGCAACTGCTGAAGCAGCTCGAGAAGCTACGTGGTTACGAACATTGCTTTCGGAACTCGGTATGCGACAAGGATGTACGATTCTACACTGTGATAACCAAGGAGCAATACTACTTGCTAGTAATCCTGGTACGCACGCTCGTTCGAAACATATCGATGTGAAACACCATTATATTCGGAACAAAGTGCACGATGGTGAACTCAAACTCGAATACGTACAATCAGAACTGCAGAATGCGGACTTCCTTACGAAGGTGTTATCGCGCGAGAAACATAGAGAGAACTGCCACAGAGTGAATCTGAAGTCAATGCGCCACGAAACTTTCTCTGTCTCTTCAACCTTCGTTCTCGATTCATCCTCCTTCGCTTTCGATCTCGATCTCGACATGGTGGATAGCCGACAAACAAACAAGGAATACATTGTTCAAAATGGGTTCATTGCAATCACGGGATGTGACGATTGCGTACGAAAACACAAGACATGTATCTTTCTAAAGAGGGAGGATGCTAGGGAGAATGGTAGAGAACATGGTGGAAAGGCGTTGTATAAGTGTTCAGAATGCACTAGAAGCGGTCAGAAGTGCATGGTTGCTGGAGAAGATGTTAGCAAAACTGGAGGTGTAGAAAGGGCTGGGGATATTCATCCTCCTGCGGTTGTGATTGCGACTCCTGCGATCAACACGACTCCTTCGGTCCCTGCGACGATCCCTTCGATCCCTACGGTACCTACGCTTCCCACGCTTCCTACCATTAATCTCTCGAAACGTAAGGCAATTGTCCTGTATTCACCTTCACCTGAACCCACGGAACTTTCGGAACCTACGCTTTCGGAACCTACGTCTACGGAACCGGCGGAAACTTTCACACTGGAACCTTTGGATCAATCAGTAGATCGATCAGATCAATCAACGGATCAATCAGCAGATCAATCATCTACGTCTTCGGAAGCGTCTACGGAAACGTCTACGTCCACGATCGAACCTACTGCTGAAGTCTTAGAACGTATCAACCACGAACTTACGGATCTGCTTAATCGTCCTGATCTGAAACATTATGGTCGACTTAAGAAGGTAATTCGCGATCTTAGGTGGATTCATCTTAAACTTTCCAATTGATAACATACGGTTATACGATTGTACGGTTCATGGTTAAACGGTCATACGGTCTACGGTTCACGGTTCACGGAATAATCTCTATCGTTCACGGAATGAACTTCACGGTTCACGGTTACGGTCTTATCATTATACATATATCGTTTAGTTGGATTTCCTGGTTTGCCAACTCGACATCTTTAATTACACACTGTCCAGGGTATTGATGTGTGTCCGACTTCCCTTTCTTTCTTTTCGACTTACGCTGTTCCTCGGTTCCCTTCATATCACTATCACCCTCTACACTGATTCCATTATTCGTCTTATTCGTCCATTCGTGATCTCTCGTTCATCACTGTTCACATTCCGTACGACATCGCGATCCTTTCTCACTGTTCACATTCCGTACGACTTCCTCTCTCTCTCACTTGCTGGAATATTGGAATATGGCGTTAGGGGGAGTGTTAGAATAACGCCACATACGGTGTTATACGGATATTCGGAAGTGGAGCGGATGTTTATAGAATGTTCCATTCCATCTCTTTCGATGCATCTCGTTTCTTCATCGTAAACGTAAACCTCAACACTGAGCAATCATCCATAGTCCGGAACATTCAGTGCCTGCCTCCACTTTCCCAAAGTAGTAATTCAGCCTGCTCGCTGAGCAATCATTCCCACGTTTGCGCTTTCTAGTTTATTCCGTAGACATGTTGAGCAACCTGCTTGATGGGGATAAATACCCCCTCAAAACAGGTTGTTCCCCACCTATGGATCTTGTGTCAATCCAGTCAGTCCCAGCCTGACATCTTGCAGTCCCCTCAGTCCCTTGTTACCCTCTGTATACTCCTCAAGCTCTACGAGCCAGAGACAAGTATTGGGTTACAGCCCCATTCCAGTCACCTTGCCTACCCTCTGGGGATTAGACCCCGTCCGTGACACCATGTCTGCTTTTCCCCCAGATCGCCTACATGAGTAGTGCAAGTGGTATGCATACACTGTGGTGGGCATCTCCTACACTTGGAAACAGCAATCAATGCCTAGGTATACTGTTCCTTTGATGAATGACATAAGAAGGGCAGGACTCATCACTTGCTTCCAGATGTTAAGCATCTGAAATAGGCTAAGTTTGATAGTTGGACTTGATAGAAGAAGCATGGTAGGAATGCAGGATATATTGTACATACAAAATACTACTGTACAGTATTGGAGAGATTTACCGTGTCCTACTGTACCAATTGGACTTTGATCAAGGGTTCCCTCATCCTGCAACATCCCTATTGCCATATGTCAGATTGTGCATTGCCCACAAGTACAGTGAGGGACGTAAAACGGCCCCGAAGAATATGGAGCGTCACCAACCATCTTGCTGTCCTTGCTGTACATCTCCTCTCCCGAGACATATAGATTCGAGCCAGTTACACATCCATCATCGAGCATGTTCCCGTCATCCTCTGGTTCCAAGTCGAGGGGGACAGGTGGCGCACGACCATCCACCCTCGTTGTATCAAAGGTACTGAATGTGTTCCGACGAGGGGCACCTACCTTGCCAAGCTGTTTGAGAGCCAACAGTGACTCGAAAGATCAGGCCCGTGGTGGCAAGGTATCCAGTGATGGACTTTCGAAGTTTATCCCTGAGCTCTTCAGTGGTGTTTGGGCAGCATGACTCTCTGGAGGGACCAAACCAGAATTCTGTTCACTCATTGAGACAGTATCTGGCTCAGGATCATGGACTGTTCCCTGTCCAACCACACACCAGTCACACAGACCTTCTTCCGGAGGACCGCAAGTTGAGCCAGAATTTGAGCTGTTTTGGTCCTTATCATGATCTGTTGTAATCACAGCCTCTGCAAGCTCCACCATTGAGGGATCATCATGTGGTGAAGATTGACTGCTCTCAGAGTCAGGGAACTCACTGTGGACTGGGAATGTGTGTGTCTTATCAGATCCTGACCCCTCATTGGTAGTCAAATGATTCAGGGGCTTCTCTGTGTTGAACACCAGGTCTTCTGTTGATGGTGTAGCTGAACTGTGAACCTCAGAAGCAGTGTTGGACATATCAGTAGATTTGCCGGCTGGTATGATATCCTGCCGTTCCTTGACACACATAGATGGCCCAGATGTAGTGTAATCTTCGAAAGACCTGGCAGAGCCTCTGGCAGGTACTCGCTTGCTTTTCTTTGACTTGAATTTCCTCAAACGTGGTTTGTCCTCATGTTGAGTCCTCTCTATACGCTGTTGCTGTATGATCCAGGATATGGGAAGTGTGAGAAGACTCTTCAAGCTTGGAGTCTGACTATAAAGCCAATACGAGATGACAAGTACCCGACGGAGATAGGTGATACGCCCATGTGTCCTCTTAATGCGGCAAACGCCGCCTAACTTATCATAAGTACCTACATTCTTCCTGTTGTCTCCTCATCACTCTCAATTAGTGCTGAGCAAACAACAGGTATGTCCATGCATCACTCTCAATTAGTGCTGAGCAAACAACAGGTGAACAGAACATTCGATTCCGTCGTGGTAACGTCTCCTTCGTCAAACCGGAAGAACCAAGAAGACATCAGTTCCCGTTCTCCTTGACGACTTCACCTCTCATCTGCTCTCAAAGCATTGAGTGATCAACCTCAACTCACAACCTCCATTTTCCTCTGCTCTCATCAGCTATCATCCGTATTCACCCAATCTTATCATTATGTCATCTGCAACTGTCAAAGACGAACGGAAGCTCTCCAGTCGGGACAACTTTGCACTATGGGATAGGGCTCTTCGGGTTGCCCTAGGAAGTGCTGGTCATATCTCTCACATCCTCATTGAGTCTTCCACACTCCTTGATGAAGTCCGCTCTCGATACCCCCTCTCTACTCCCCCAACAACCACTGAACGATCAAAGCGACTGGTAGCCGAATTCAATCTGAAGAAAGACCAAGCAACTGCCTTTTCTATCCTCTATGGGAGTCTCACGGAGACTGTACAAAACAAGCTACCAAATGAGAAAGCCGACTTCGCCTCTCCAGATCCCCGTGCGCTTTATATTCATATTGTCAAGAAATATGGTGCCAGCAATGGTTCTCGCCAAGCTGAACCTTGGGGATCAATCTTTGGTGATACCATTCCTGAGAACGATGATCCTGAACCTCACCTTACCACAATTCGTTCTCACATTGCTGAAATCACTGCGGCTGCCGCCTCCCTCAGTGTGAAGGACTTCGCCGACAGTGTTGGGGCATATGCAGCAATCCGGAAACTGCGATCCTCCTATGGCATGCTAGCCTCTACCTTCTATCAAGGTGCAACAGCTCATACACTCACACTTGATGAGGTCATTGATAGGGTTTCAGAGGAGCATCGTCGCCGAGAGAACAAGGGAGAGTCAGTGAACGAGCATGGATTAGTGGTGGCCAGGAAGAAGCCAGTGGAGTGGAAGAAGCCAGTAGAGTCTAAGAGTTGTCAATATCACCCCAACGCGACTTCACATGCTACTGAAGAGTCTAGAAACAAGGGGAAGAGTGGTACGGACGAGGGGAACAAGAAAAAGAAGGACAAACAGATGGGAAAGGCAATGAAGGCAACTGTAGGACCCAGGGAAGACTCCAACGCTTCTAGTGATGAGGAAACCACAAGACAATCTCTTCTCTCCACCAAATTTGCCTTCAGAGCTGAAGAACTCGGTAACACCTTCATCATTGACAGCGGCGCTACCTCTCTCTTTGTCAAAGACAAACATCTCCTATCGAACCTTAGACCTCTCCCATCCCCAATCACAATCTCAATCGGCAATGGTCAGACAGTCATGGGAACCCATTCTGGACGACTGTCTTTCAAGAATGTTTTCTATGATCGTTCTATCTATGTCCCAAACATGGCATTCAACCTCCTGTCAACACAACGACTTGGGTCAAAGGGGAATGACCATGAGTGGAGGTTCTCAAAAGCCAAAGGTGCGCGTCTGGTAAATGAGGAAGGAAGAGTAGTTCTACAAGGTCACTGGTCAAAAGGGCTATGGGTAATTGATGAAGAACCGGTACGGCAACTCTCCTCTACCCACATTGCTCTCAAAGCGCAGGAAGGGGCTGATAAAGAAGATCATCTCCTCCACTGGCATCGACGGCTAGGTCATACAGATCAACGGAAGGTGTGGGAGCTTGGGAGAGCAGGAAAGCTCGGAACACTCAGAAGCTGGTCAGAAACGTTCTCGCCCACTGAATGCACCTATTGTCTTCAAGGAAAAGCGACTCGATCTCCCTCTTCACCAAACACTCGCCGAGCAACTAAACCTCTTGTCAGGGTCTCAGTCGATCTCTGGGGACCTGCAACCACAGTGTCCGGAGAGGGATTCAAATACTTCCTAACCTGCTATGACAATCACTCAAAGTATGTGCATGTTACACCGCTTCGTTCCAAGGCAGCAACTTTTGAAGCTCTCAAGACATACATCAACTTGGCTGAGAACCAAATCAACTGCACGGTCAAGGCACTCCTCTCTGATCAAGGAGGAGAATTCTCGAGTATCCAAATGAGGACATGGTGCCAGCTCAAAGGCATTGAACACCTACACACTCCTACCGCTGCCCATAACCAAAATGGGAGAGTAGAGAGAATGCACCTTACCCTTCTCAACGATGTCAGGACCTGTCTCCTTGATGCTCGGCTTGACAAGATGTACTGGGTAGACGCACTCAAGTATTCAGTATACAATCGCAATCGCCTCCCTGACAGGAAGGGAATCTCTCCTTTGGAGAAATTCAAACCCGACACGGATAGTAGAATCAACTACACACAATTCTGGTCATTTGGCCAACACTGCATCTTCAGAAAAGCGTCTCAGCAATCAAAGTTAGAATCAAGAGGAGAGCTTGGTCGGATTATAGGATATGGACCTACCGGTGATTTTATCATCCTCACAGAAGCTGGCAAGATCACGATCAGTGGGGATGTGACTGTGCGTCACTTATCGTCCGTCGAAACAAGTACTGGCTGTCACAATGACACTGCAATTGTAGAAGAGTCAGAACTAAACTCACATGATACACCCATCATTTCTCCTCCCTCTGAGAGGACTAGACGAACAGACCTAAACGAACCCGACCAGGATCCATCTGGCCAAGTGTCACTATCCGTCCAACCAGAATCCTCAAGAACTCAACTCTGAAGGAGAACAAGTGGTAGAAATGTCGCATCGCCGACACAGAGGATGGGTAGAGGAGCCTTACTCCCGAGAAGGTGCACCAAGCCCAGAACCACTACCTAATGAGGGGAATGATGGATCAAACACTAGAAGAGATGAATCTCGCCGATCTAATCGGCTTGCTGGGGAACAACCCAGTCACACACCACTGCATGATATTAATATGAACTACCGCCTCTCTGCTTTTGAACATGCGCTATCAGCGCAAGTCCTCACAAATCCTCAAACATATCAGGAAGCACGGAATTCCGCCGATTGGGAGGATTGGAGAATAGCGATGGAAGAGGAAATGTCAAAGATGAACAGATATGGTGTCTGGGAAGTCATCCCCAACAATGGACAGCGAACTCTGTCTGGGAAGTGGGTTTATACTCGGAAGATTGATGGGAACACCGGAAAGCCAAGCGCATACAAAGCAAGATTGGTTGTCCGAGGATTCCAACAAATATCAGGACGAGATTATGATGAGTTGTTTGCATCCGTGACCCACAAAGCATCATTTCGAGTATTCCTCTCAATTGTCAACTACATGGGTTGGCACTGCGACCAGATGGATGTCATTGGGGCTTTCTTGAAAGGCGACATTGATCGCGACATCTTTGTCAATCCGCCTGAAGGTAGTGATATACCTGCTGGATACATTCTACACCTAAGAAAGTCATTATACGGACTAAAACAATCACCACACCTCTTCAACAAGAAACTACGTCAATTCCTTGTCCAACTCGGTTTCACTTCCTGCTTAGCTGATCCATGTATTTATTCCTACAACAAGAATGGAGTGCGGTTCATGATATCGGTCCATGTGGATGATATGCTTGTGGCTAGCAACAATCGTGTCGAACTTGACAAGCTCAAGGCAAAGATTCATGAAGAACTCGAGTGTAAAGATCAAGGGCCAGTATCATACTTCCTTGGGATCAACATATATCGAGATCTTGCAAATAGAAAAATGTACCTCTCTCAGGAGCACTACATCGAAGCAATACTTGACAAGTTTGCTGAGAATGGGAAGCCATGTAGAACAATTCTACCAGTCAACCTCAAGCTAGTAGAAGCAACCCCAGAGGAGATCAAGGAAGCTCAACACAAGCCATTCCCTGCACTTGCTGGCTCCCTCCTCTACATTGCCACCATCACACGCCCAGATATTGCCTACGCCGCAGGTCTTCTCTGTCGCTTCATCAGCAAATGGTCCCTTACCCACTGGAGGGCAGCCAAACATCTTCTTCGTTATCTCAGAGGGACCTCTGATCTGGCACTCACGTTCGATGCAACTGCTGGTAAACGCGCACTTCTAGGATGGGCAGATGCAGATTGGGGTGGATGCCTGGATACCCGAAGGTCTACCACAGGCTTTGTCTTTAGTACCTATGGGGGGATCGTCTCCTGGAAGAGTCGGCGACATCCTACAGTTGCTCTCTCAACAACTCAAGCGGAACTTCTAGCATCAACAGAGGCGGGGAAGGAGGCAGTCTGGCTGAGACAACTACTGGCAGATCTTGAACTTGGTCCAGCTGATGGGGAACCAGTCGAGATTCTGAATGATAACAACGGGGCAATTCAGCTTGCCAAGCATCAGCACGGTTTCAAATTGAACAAAGCATTTGATATGAGAGCTCAATGGATCCGAGAACATCAAGACGCACGGATTATACAGCTTAGATATACCAATACCTCCTCAAACCGTGCCGACCTGTTGACCAAATCAACAACTGCTGAACGGACTCGACAACTTAGAGATCTACTAGGACTCAAACAACGTGATCCAGGTGATAGTAGGAGGAAGAAAGAGGACATCTGCGCGAGGGGAGGCGACGGAGATAGGTGATATGCCCATGTGTCCTCTTAATGCGGTAAACGCCGCCTAACTTATCATAAGTACCTACATTCTTCCTGTTGTCTCCTCATCACTCTCAATTAGTGCTGAGCGAACAACAGGTATGTCCATGCATCACTCTCAATTAGTGCTGAGCGAACAACAGGTGAACGGAACATTCGATTCCGTCGGTACCGTGTGGGAGACTTGATTGGTTGCATTGATTACGGTCATCATGATCTCCGATACCGTGGGACACTCACGCCTTGGAGGTTCACTTGGGGCATCGAGTGGTAGTCGCTTGTCTCCGTGTTTCGAGATGATGTATCTTCTGTGTTTATCCCGTTCTCTACCCTCATTTGTGTGACCACTAATAGTACTCCCTGGTGAGGGCAGCAAAGTTATTGTAGTCATTTGGGATGAGGATCTGTGTTTTGATTGTTTCTCCTTGTGTTTGAAAAATGTATCTGCTCCAGTCAGCAACTAACTGGGCGCAGAAGTAATCATGCTTACCCAATTGTCTCTCAAAACCCAGAAGATCTTGAGCATTGTTGTCAAATGGGGATACATGGATACAAGTCTTCACTCCATCCTGGTATTCACTGATGTGTCTGTTGGCTAGTGCTGAGATTTGGGCCTCTGGGTTGTAACATGCCACCAGGTCTGTTATGAGCAGTGCATATCTCAAGGCCTCAGACATTTTGAAGTCCTTCCTCTTGTAAGCCTTCGTCAGTGCAGAAGTCATCTGTGCGGTCGTGCTCTTATACTGCTCTACGTTATTCGTACAACCGAGCTCTTCCGGTGAACATCGCTGCACGACTCGCCCCTGAGGCATCACCCAGCGTATCGCGGTGGTCATAAAGCCGGTATCTAATGGTTACACGACCTCAGGGCCAATAGGGACCGGACGGGGTCCATATGGGCCGTCCGGGCCCGTCCGGTGTAACCAAATCTTCCGTGCCACGTGAGCCGGCGTCGGCCGACGTCGGCCTACGATCGCTTTTTACGATTGACTTTCGATTTCAACAATCAACATTGTTTGCTTCATGCAATTACTGAAAGTCTTCGACCTTTGCATGTAATGATGAGACAGTCATGGCATGTGCATACATTGATCAACTATTTGCTACAAAGTTAACCCCCATCTTCATCCAACTCCTCTAACATGGTTTGATCATGGCCATGCGTATCCTTGTCTGACACCCCGGCACCTGAGCCACTCGCGTTCGACGTTTGACGATCTAAATCGTTGGGAGTGGACAAGCGACTACTTTCTGAAATCTGACGAGACTTCCCTCGCTTTCCGGAGCCTTGAGCAGATCGAAGACGTTGTTCAAAAGTCTGAGAATGTTTGCGTTGCGATCGTAAGTTCCGCGCAGGACCAGAGGTAGCAGCCGCAGCAGCAGGATCGGTATTCAGCTGTCTATTTGCAGCGTCATCCATCGTGATATCCAATGTCAGTGCTGTACACAATAATGAGTGATAAAAAACATACCTTCATCGTTCCAGCCCGCACTGAGTCCTGTAAGTTGTCCGTGTTCCAACACCGGCGAGGGAAGAAGGGTAACCGCGGTACGGCGACGACGTGAGGAAGGATCGTCGGTGTCCAACACATTAGCAGCTACTGCAGCGTTAAGCTGCTGAACAAGTGCACGCCCGTCCCGAGTAAGGGGACCCAAAGCCGACAAAATGACCTGAGGTGGAATCGGGGTATCAATGGTCGCTTTTCATTTAGCATAGCACACACAATTGTTAACTGGTACTTACCAAAGCCACTGACAATTGCTTCTAATCCTTCGAGCTTGGCAACAAGGTTAGAGGCCAATGACGCATCTAGAATTTCTTCTTCTAATACATTCTTCCCAAAATCACAATTGCTCGTTCCTCTTGCACGGCACTCAGCACAGCTTGATTGTGCTTTCTCACTGACGGTTATGCAACCGAAGGATACGGCATCCTCACGATTTATTCGATTTTGGCAATGTGAACACATTGCCACGCCGGAACGAATGATAGATTGGGGGCCACACACGATGTTGTGCGCCAGACGGTGACGCTTAACCTAATTTCATTGATTAGTATTGTTCTGGTCGAGTTTTAACATAAGAAGTTCAAGCTCACTATTTCTAACTCTTTATTCGCTGGTATAGCCCACACTTCGCCTTTCAAGGTGTTTGGCAGTAAAGCCAATGTCTTTGAGCTATCCTGAGGAAAAATACGACGATCAAATTTCGTTCCCGGCACCCATGAGAACGGTTCATACGCACCTACTAATTAGATACTGTCAATGACTCAAAAAAAGCTTCTAACGTACTCAATACTGTTGTTGAAAAAAATTCATCGACTGCTTGTCCTCCCTTTTCTGGAGAGGTGTTGTTGCAACGACTTCCCTTGTTTGCGTACCGCTTTGGCGTGGGAGGAGGTACTTTGGAAGAAGGTGGTGTATCCGACATTTTAATGCTATAGCTAAGTTTCAATTAACGAAGAAAGGTGAAAAATAGTGGGTTAAGATTCACGACAATACACTTAATACATCCTTGTTGTGTGTACACTTGTTTACACTGTCTGCGTAGAAAATTGTTCAACCAACTACGCCCTGCAATGTTTGTTGCTCGGGATTGCAATGAAACAGTTTGAAACTATCCTTTGAGGGTGACTATGGTCGCAACAAACCATCATTGGCCGACGTCGGCCGACGTCGGTTTTTTGTCATTGTTATAGCTTTAGAGGCGTAATTTTTCACTCTCAGACATACCTTTCAGTGTGTCATGTAAAGCATTAAGCGACGAAGGACGCTGTCGAACACGAAACGCATCAAGATCCCTAGCAGCTTCGTCTTCCGTAATTGATCGTGTCTGAGCCATTAACTTGATCTGATTAATAATGACTAGACGTCGGTTCCAAAACCTCCGCTCTGTGTCACCGCCAACGCCCCAATGATGCTGAGGATTCTCGTACATCATTTTAGCAGACGGTTTGCCGTTTAAGCCGGTGTTATATTCTTCCCAAACTTGATTTACGGTCCGTAAAGTCCGTAGCAGGCTGAAAGGCGTCAAGACAGCTCGAGGTTGATTTACTACGGTCAATAGAGGTGAAGCTGTACCTTCTGCTGCTGTACTTGATGTAGGAATGTTTTCAAGCAGTACCGTTGGTTGCAGGGCGCGAGATGTTGTTTCTGATTGCACGGGTGTTTCACCTGCCGTAATTTCAGTTCCTTGAAGAATACTAGGTAAAATAATCGGCTGGCTTAAAGCGACAAGGATCCGAGACAGCTGCTGCTGGTTAAGGTTCAATGATACGTCTTGATTTTGAGCGGTTGTGATCAAAGACGACAATTTATGATGAATTTCGGTACTATCTTGTGTTTGCTTCATGAAATGCGCCGAGAGAGTTGATGCAAGTTGTGGCATGGCTTCAGCTAGCCTACGATCGTGACTATTCGTACGAAGAGAGCATGTGTCAAAATAACAAGCTTCCCATTGCTTGAATTCGTCATTTTGAAACAGGGAATGCGACCAAAGGTACAGCTCTGGGTATTTTTGACGCCAGGCGCAGATGTCTTGAAAAAATACCTTACGAAGGTGTTTCAAAAGCTGAACAAACGTCATAGCCTGTCTGTCTATAGCGTCACCTTGTCGTAAGGAAAGATCCAGTTCCCTTTACATGAGCAATGCGTTTACAAACGAGGTTTGCTTACCATTTTTCAAGAGAAGGAAATACCATTCTCTGTAAAGTGTCCGGTACAGGAATATCACGCGGAAGGTAATAGTCTTGGCTTCCATAAGGCTTAAACCCGGCCAATGCACGTAATACTGAACGAGGCATATGACCCAAGTAGACATTTTCCAAAACATCTTGATTCCAATGGCCTGCACGCGCAATATCTTGAGCTGATACACCTTCACTTTCTGCGAGCTGAGCTCCTCCGGCTCTATTGATATGTGTCTTCTTTCCCGTATTAACTTGAGCGCTTTTAAGAGCCTGAGTAATTGAATCATATTGTGCTTTATACGTGAGTTGATCTGTACGAGAATATATTGAATGTTGGAGGAGTTTATCGTTGTACCACGTCTCACGAGAAGCAAGGTTGGGAAATCCATTGTCTCCAAGGCTGCCGGCCTGAAATCTAAGTGAATTAACACGCATATTAGTTTAGCTAAACCGACGTCGGCCGACGTCGGCTGACATTCACTCACCGAGCAAACAAGTAAACTGCTAAGATCCCCACAGGACACATGAAAACGTCTTTGTTGCGTATTAACCCCGAATACTCTACTTTGCCATGCTTGTTGACTTTTCCACGTCTACTAACGCACACAACAACTAACATGGGTGTTGGTCCCTCGTTATCCCACACAGTGTACGCCAAATCTGAAAGTTCCATGCCTCGTTGGTTATCGCCCCGGTAGAGCACGTACAGGCCTAGAGCGTGAGCAACAGCGTCACGGAGGCCTTGCTCGGTATTTCGAGAGACGTAAGCACTGAAGCAATCCTCAATTTGTTTTCTACTTTGATATCCGTCGAAAATTGTATCTAATAATCAATTAGGCTCTTGACTGTGCTTACTTACTACTTGTTTTATCGATAAACATTTCCCTTTTCGTTTGTTCATCTACTCGTCTTAAGACTAACAAAAGGCTTTTCATTGCTGCCGAGCGCGGATGAGGATGACTGTTCATGCCTTTGTATTTCTGCTGTTTCCATAGACTGACCAGAGCAGCTACATGCAGTTTGATTGACGCTTGACTTTGCGTCATTCGGCTAAGCTTTAACAAAACTGGCATTCAGCAAGCACTTTATATCACAGTTAGCAAGTGAACACACCACTTTCTCTAGCTGTTGTTGTAGGCACTTTTTCTCCTCGAGTTAGGTCTTCAACTACATCTAAAGCTCGTAGTTGACTTTCTTCCAACGTATCCAAACTTGTTTCAACATCTTCGATTGAGCATGTTGGTAGTAGGTCAGAACTTGCTCTTCTTGCTCCAGCAACTGAGGTCTCTGCTTCCTCAGGGGTACTTTGACGTTCTCTTTTGCGTGTATCTGTACGATTATTGGGGTAAAATAACACTTGTGTATATATCCATCTAAGGGCGTACTCCGGTGTAACCGTATCTCTGGAACAATTAGCATCTTTTGATCGTTCCTACTTTGCCCCATCAAGCAATCTGCCGCCGACGTCGGCCGACGTCGGCCAACTCATACAAAGTCACGTACCCAGTGCTAAACTTCATTCTTTGACACCATTCTTGCCATCTTCGTATGCGTACTTGGTAATGAGCTTGTGTTGAGGAAGCATTACTCATTTTCTCAAGTTCCCCAAAGTCTTCACGCCAATTATCTGACGTATTCCAACAATCCGCAATCTCATCATGTATAGTAGCGTTAAGACGGTTTTGACGAGACATTATATAGTTGAATAAAGCAAAAGCAGGTGGTAGAGAGCTGAAATGGATGAAAGACAGTTGCAGATAGTGAAAATAACGTTGCATTGTTCATTGTAACCCTTTTTTCACACTCAGGAACCCGAGAAGGTCTGTAACCGCGGCTGTTTGTATGGTGTAATTCCTGTAACCGCGGTTACAAGGACGGGACCTCGGACGCTATGGGCAAAAAGGGGGGTGTCACGTGACTTCGTGGCGGACGACGTCCGGACGCGAGCGGACGGCTGGGTAGGATAACTTTGTATTGAATCATGAGAAGAGAAGTCGGGAACTTTCCATCTTCATGAGGAAGGGCGATACTTAAAGTCACCGGTCTCCCATTACTGCTCAAATTGTAGGTAGGAATGTTATCACTCCTGGTCGGCATCATCTATGTTGAGAAGACAAGAACGAGGTCTGATCATGCCAATTTCCACGTATTATAGAGTAGGCAGTTAAATCATTGGGGACAACTCCGTGAGGCGGTTCTTCCTCCATTCATCGTCATTGCCTCCAGAACCACCGTTCACACAGGATTGATGGTGAGGCCATGCAAGGGGCTGTCCGCCTAGCGGTGCGTTTCATCCGGGCATCTCCGCTGGCTCCGTCCGTCCAGATCTCAAGCAATGAGGTTCTTCGGCCGGTAAGCAGGGTAAGATTGTTGAATGAAGCGTAAGATTTGGCATGCATTCTTGTCAGGTCCAGACGTTGGAAATAGTCTGTGTCTATGCGCTATGGGTACAGGGCCTTGCAGGGAACAGACCTAGTGATGTAGTTTATAGTCTAGTGATGTAGTGGATCGAAGAGACTATAAGTCGATGAGATCAAGTGGGAAAGGATTTGCTAAATGACAAGGAAATACATTTGACAAGACATCTACGAAAAAGGGTTGTTTCTATACACTAAAAAGGGAGCGGAGTGATACCGAACTCTGCGGAGTAAAGATGGGAAACTACATGGGGTGATAGACCGAAGGAAGACGGAGATAGATGAGGGACACGGAGATGAAGGAAAAGTATAACAGGGCAAAAGAATAGCTATTAGGTTAGACAGGAGAATGTACAATGCCGTAGCAGGATTAGTGAAGCGGAGACGGGAACGGGTAGGTGGAGTACAACTTCTGAGTAAGACTCTTGAGGAGCCCGTCTATAGGTACCCGTGATCCTGACACATGGGGGGCTTAGGAGGATCAACTCTTGGGGTTGGTAGCTGAAACCCGTGGGGAATCCACTCTAACTGGCGACCAAAACGGCTGTCAGGAGGTTTCCCGTATCCCAGGTAGGTAAGGGCTAAAGTTTGTTCCCAGGTTGGTCGCCCTAATCTTTCATCAAGTGCGGGTTGAACACTGCAAGAAGGTGGTGGCACCTCGTTTGGCAGACTGATTGATCTCAGAGCACTATGTATCCATATTGTAGGTCCACAATTTGCACCATGAAATGTAGGGGACTCTGAGCTGCAGATGTTCCCGTTCAGTTCTGTACTTGTGACCCTGTTTGTTGGTGGACAAGAATATGGGACATAGCTGCTCAACCCATACATCTCGTTCTTTTGTCCAAGGTAACCTGTTGCTGTTACACTGGGATAGAGAAAGGGTACTTGAGGTGGCCTTGGCACAGGGTGATATGGTAATATGTCATCTCTTTTTACAGTCATATGGGACCAGGGGACGGACTCGCATGGTATCATGGGATGATGATGATGTGTGCTTACAAGGCGTGTCACGGGGGGGAGCAGGTAACTATCTGTAGGTGTAAGCGAGGGCACTCCTTTTGGCTGCACCAATTCGTTCAAGGCCTTTTGGGTCTCCTGCATCTTCCTCATGTTCAAAGCATACTCTGTGTCAATGTTGCCAGGATGTACAAGGTCCGCAAGATTCTGATCTATGTGATTGTGCTCCTTTATCAGGTGATCAGCTGATGGTGATGGAGGCTCCTTGTCAGGCTCACCATCATCTAGGTCTGCGTCCACGGGCCTTGGTGGAAGGCCCTGACCAGTCGTGCCCATGGTTTCAATGACAATTCTCATCATGAAATAACCCAGATAGGTAGGTGAACAATACTCCGGCAGTGGAATAGCAGTGTTGTGATATGAATATCTTGCTGGGGAGATGATCTCATCGCTTGGACTCATCTTCTTCGTTTTTGCCGGAGACATCGGGTCATCACTCTCCGTCCCATGTGGTACTGTGCCGTCCTTCTCATTACCCGCTTTCGAGACGTTCATGGCGGCCGTTGGTTTGATCATAGTTTTGGTCGGAAGGCTGTTTTTGAATGCCTCAAGCTGACCAAGACTTGTGTCAATTCCAGGAGATAAGGGCTCCAGTTTGTAGCCCAAAGACGCCAGGTACTCCTTCTGGTCAACAATTGATCTCTGAAAATCAGTGTTTGTTTTGCCAGTTCCGAAGTCCACTCCCGACAGCTCCCTCAAGGCGGTCAGTACACTCCTCAAGCACGCATTCATCTCTTTCTGCCTTCTCCTCTTCTCCGCCCTTTTATCCGCACTCCTTGACATTCCCTGCGTGAAAGAGGGAGTATCTTGAGGAGGGACAGCTTCAGCAAGCTCTGAATGATCACCGGAGGCGGACGCCGGTGCAGTGTCCTGTGGTAGACTAACAGAATTCGTCGTTTTCAACACCTTTGAGATACCAGGTGTTTTTGGTCCGGTGCCTTGATGATTTGGCTCTCTCAAGTGTTTGAGGGCCTCCTTGATTACAGAACCGTTGTAATCGGGGTCCATGGCTTCTATACAATTAGTGAGGCAACTTCCAGAAAGAGCTTAGATAATGCTTACCCTGTTTCTGAATTCTGTCATGGGCAAAGCGTAGGAAAGCACTGCGCTCGGCTTTGAAGTAGCTTGCTATTATGGGATTTGATGACAGATTTTCAGCCCAAGGACTCATCATGGCCATGTCCCAAACTCGAAGCTTGAAGACGCTCAGACGAGCTGGTGTACCATCTAAGCTGAGGAGTGTGACTCTGGTCATCGTTGCAATCTCCCTCGCTACCCCACAAACAGTCTGACTGTACATTGTTGTATCTATCTCTCCTTTATTGTAGCGCAATGTGGAACTTTTCAAATAATTTGTTGAGCATGCCAGAGATGTGGTAACTGCATTCCTGAAGATGATGAAAATCTCATCAGTGGAAGATGGATTTAAGAGGTCCCCTAGTCCTTTGGCGCACCCATTTGCCTCCTGATGGAGAGAAGAGTACAGAGGAACGAAGGGTGTATTATTGGCCACATCCTTGGCTACAAAGACACGTATCTTTCCCAAAGATGGTTTGGACAATTTTCCAGACCTGGTGGTAATGGGAATGAGATGATCACCAAACTTTTTGGGAGGGCAACACCACATTATTGCGTGATCGGAAAGTGTCCCAAAGTGTCCAATGGGGAATCCAAGGCTGGCAGAATCTTGATTGAACTGGAAGTCTGTCTGGCTCTCAGATTTCATGCCGCCTGGGAATTTGGAGGGCTCTTCTTCCATGTTAATTTTGCCACACAAAAGTACATCAAGGCCGGTTCTCAAAGGATGTGCAGCACGGGCACTGTTAGTCTTCTGGTCCCTTCTCAGATCGCTTGCAGATAATTTTGTGGTGGTGTGAGCTTGTGCAAAGTCAAGAAGTGCTAGGTACGCATCATTGAAGTGTGTTTTCACCAAGTGGTGTGAGCAAAAGGGAGAAGCATTGTTACTGCTAATGGCCAGTTGCTGCGTAATTTGTTTCAAGACTTGGATGCCAGCAGGAGTAAACTCAAGACTTCGGAAGATTATACTTGCGGCAGATGCAAAGTCCTTTGCAATATTCTCTGAAATCTGATCCACCAGGCTATCACCAATGTTTTTATTTTTGTTCAGTCCCACTATGTCCTTCAAGAATTTGAGAGATGTAGAGGTCATGGAAACAACTCCATCCAGGAGGTTCTGTGGACTGCCCCCATGTTGGATGGTCTCGAGGACAGTGTTCATGGCAAGTATGTCTTGGGAGACCCCGTTTGGCTGAAGCCATGTTCGCTTGGCCTCCTTAGTGAATGGGTCCAGCGGCGTGAAGATGTGACACGTCTTAGACACCATGCTGTCTGGCTTGCCACTCATTTCCAGCTGAAAACTTGCCAACCCAGAGGAATCTACAGTGCCAATGCTCTCCATTGGGAAGAAATCCGAATTGGGACTCGGTTTTGTTGCAGTAGACTTGGTTTTGATGCGATATTCAGAGGGTGTATGATCTGCAAGTATGAGGAATTCGAGCACCTACGAAGGGGGAGAGAGAGTCTTATGTATAAGCTTGGTGGCGCGCGGATCAATGTCCGCCCGGCTAACCGGGCCTAGGAAGGTGAGGAGAGGGTAAGAATCTCCTCATGAGAACGTGTGAACTTTCAGAGGAGAAACAGAGACACTCGGACAATGAGGTAGGATCTAGCATCCTGACCCGCCCGTGGAATCCTACCTGGGACTGAGGCCGGTGAAACGCCTTCGTCCATGCCGGAAACATCCATTAGGTGTTATACGTATGTAGAGTTATTCAGCAAAGTACCAACATTGCTGACTCTTCAACATCATAGTGTGGCTGTGTTAGGTAACGTACGGAAGACGTGACACTCCGAAGCGTCATGTGTATGATTGTGACTGGCTGAAGATCCATGTCCCACTGAAGAATACCTGTCATGTCCTCAGATAGCCTGCAGACTCTGAGATACTTTACACTGGAGATACTTTACACCTGAGAACGGATGTTACCCTTCTGCTTTGTATAAAGAGGAGATGGGTGCAGCTGATTGGGTTGTTGGGCAATAGCCTCCTCAACATCATGACTGCCAAAGGCTGTTTCTTTCTCTCATGCATACTTCCATAGGATCTGTTTCTGTAAGCTCTTTCCACTCATCTTCAAGAGCTATGGATTCAATGCAGATGTCACGAAGTGACAAGTCAGTTTGGTCAGTGACAAGTCAGTTTGGTTAGAGTTGTCTTCGGGTTGGGTATATAACCAGAGACCGGCGGTTTGCAGTAACCGCCGGTTAATAGGCCTTTTTGTCGCAATGGTTTAGACCGCTGTTCCGATGGGCACTGTTATATCTTCCCGATGCTGGTTATTTGGTCCCGTGTCACTGAGTCATATTATCGTCCCCCAGGATCTCCTCGAGCTCTTCTTGGCTGAAATAATGCTTCCAAGTGCTTGTTAAAGGGATCGAATAAGCTCGCGTGTCGAAACTTTTCTCATCATCAGTAATCCATCTTCATGCATTACTATATTCTTCAATTACAACTGATTATAAGACCCGTGCTTTAATCGACTAAGCGAATTCAGCAAGCATAATCTACCCATCGCTTGTTCACTTGTTCACTTGTTCACTTGACCAGCTTGACCGACCGGCCTCCTCGCTTGTCTTGTCACCGCTGGAGTATAGATAGGGAAGTCAGGAAGACTAGCCTTTTGTGTGAGTGGGAGTGCGACGAGCCTTAGGTTCTTGCACCAACAGTCGCTTCACTTGAACGTCATTGTCTTCTTGCTTGTTAGAACGTCTGACCAGAACATACATATATAACTCGACCGATATTGACTAGATCAAACTCGTCCTGTCCTGTCCTCATCTCCCTCGATACCAGCATCATCAGCCCCATCATGTCGTCCAATGATCTCTCCAAATTGTTTGACACTGTGCCCAAGCTCACTGGGAAAGGAAACTACCTGGTATGGCATCAGAGGTTAACAGTTGTCCTTTTCATAACTTGAACTTGCTCGTTTGTTCTCCCCACCACCATTGCACCAACTGCTACCACTACAATCCCCTCCACTGGATCATCCCTTCCACTCGAAGCCTGGAACGAACGAGATGAACAGGTTGCTGCCGCCATCCTCCACTCCACTTCTGAGGATATCCTCTCTGCTCATCTTCACCTTTTGTCACCCGTTGTGTCACAAACTACGTCGTAACATCCCTGACAACCACCATCACCGACCCTCCTTTCACCATCACCGACCTTCCTTTCACCATCACCAACCTCCACTTGAACCACTGAGACCAACTACGGCGAAGTTACGAGAACCAAGAGGGTATTTGTCACGATAACCCCGCCTAGCGGAGAAGTACGGCGAGGTTAGGGGAAGGGAACCGAGGGAGAGCAGAACAGGGGAAGTTAGGCGAAGTTAGTCGAAGTGAGCGGAGTAGGACATCGGGGATATGGCGAGGTACGGCGAAGTTGAACGAAGAGGACTGAGCGTGAGGCAGTGCAGGAGTTGAGGGACGTTCTATGAGAAGAGAGGAGTAGTATAGATAGTTTACAGATCGCTGAACTTCTTCAGCGATCCTTGATTGTTGTCAGTAGCGAGAGATATATTCAGTAGCTACAACCTTCAAGTTAAGGAGAGCTACCACCAAGCAGTTCGACGCACTAAGGCGAAGTTAGCCGCAGTTCATCGACGATCACCTTATCATTTACCACTCGACGTATTACTACGGCGAAGTTAGCCGTAGTTCCCCCGACGAGTACCCTGTCCTAGTGAGACATCAACACCCCACCAGGACGTAGTTAGCCGAGGTATGTCGACCGTCGGTCAGTAGAGGAGAAGAAACGACGATTGTGACAACCATTCAAGGGGGGAGTAGAGCTGCAGATGAACCTCCACACACACTCCTTAAACCAGGACAATTTGTCATTGGTGCCCTCATTCCTCCAGACACTCCCAATGCACCCCCACACTCAGATGTTATTGCTAGGATAAAGCAACTTCAGCCTGAGGATCCCATCCTCCAAGAGCTTTTGCCTTACCTGCAATCTCCCGTTACTCCTGTACCCCAAGGACTTCAAGGAAAACTCAAGGTTTTTAGAATAAAGGACAACATCATTCATTTCAACAACAAAATCTATGTCCCAAGCAACGATGAACTCAAGATCAATTTACTTCAACAAACACATAATTCCCCTACCTCTGGACACTATGGTCAACACAAAACATATCAACTTCTCTCTCGTCATTATTACTTCCCAGGCATACGACAATTCACCAACACCTATGTGGATGGTCGTCACACATGTGAACGGAACAGAGTCCCTCGACATAAACCCTATGGACCACTTCAACCCTTACCCATTCCTTCACAACCATGGCAATCTATTTCCATGGATGCTATTGTCAAACTTCCATCATCAAATAACTTCGACTCCATCATGGTCTTTGTTGATTGCTTCACCAAACAAGCCCACTTCATCCCATTCAAGGAAGATGGCTTTGATGCACCCAACCTAGCTACCATGTTCAGACAAAACATTTGGAGACTTCATGGACTACCCAAGGATATTGTTTCAGATCGCGGATCAATCTTCAACTCTCAGTTTTGGCGCTCTTTTGTCAAAGGCCTAGGGATCACTCCAAACTTCTCTACTGCCTTCCATCCTCAATCAGATGGTCAGACAGAACATGTCAATCAAGTCCTCAAACACTACCTCAGATCATTCTGCGACTATGATCAAGCCAATTGGTCATCTCTTCTGGATCTTGCAGAGTACAGTTACAACAACTCTGTCCACTCATCAACAAAATTCACTCCTTTTCAAGCAAACTATGGGTATTATCCAAATGATCCCACTTCACCATCACCTTCAACTCTCTCTGTTCCAGCAGCAGGAGAGCATCTTCAGACACTATGTCATCTTCATCAAACTCTCGCCAATAATATCCAGTCAGCTCAAGAACATTATACAAAACACTTCAACAAAAAGGGCAAGGACATCAATATCAAGGATCAATCACTTTTCAAAGTTGGTGATCAAGTCTTCCTCAACAGACGTGACATTCAAACAGTATGACCCTCGCTCAAACTTGATCAGAGGATGCTAGGTCCCTTCAAGATTATTGAAGCCACATCCTCTCCACTTGCGTTCAAACTTGAACTACCACCATCAATGAACATACACCCTGTATTCCACGTCAACCTTCTTGAACCCATGCATAAAGGACATCCTCAACAACCTCAAGACCCTCCACCACGCATTGAAGTCAATGGTGAAAAAGAATATATTGTCAACCATATCCTCGACTCTCGTATCGGTGCAGACAATGGCTATGACTACCTTGTCAATTGGAAAGACTACTCCAGTGCCCATGATTCATGGGAACCGTGGGAAAATGTCAACCACACCACAGCTTATAAAACATTCCGCCGACAACACCTCAAGGATCCAAATCATCACTTCCCTCCAACCAAAGCTCATCAACAAAAACAGCAAGACACAACACAAGACAACATCAACAGATCTCAACATGGATCAACACGGCTCAGAGGACTTCACCCTTAGAGGGGGAGCTCCTGTCATGAATAGTGATAAAGAATTCTGACTCATGCTTAGAAGAGTGATAAGGAAATATGACTCATGCTAGGAACTGTGATAAGGATTGAAGGAAAATATGAGTCATGGTATTTAGCAGTTCAGCAGTGAGGCATTTATGTGATTGGCTGGAACCAGTTTCCCACGGTGCACTCACTTTGAGGCACTTATGTGAGTGGCTAGAAAGTCCCTCACAGGCTTTTTATTTAGTACACCTACTTTAGTTTTGAAGGGTATAAAAGGAGCACATCTCCCCCCTCTTTCTTCAGCAATGTATCTTCATCTTGAAGTTGAACTTCATCTTTGAAAGTCACCTAGTTGGTTCTAACCCAACACCTCAGTACCCTCAGTACCTAAGGCAGTCATCAAGCTCTACGAGCCAGAGACTAAAACCCTTCAGTATCCAAGGCAGTACTTTGCAACCGCAGTCTACCCGCAGGCGTGACAAAAGTGCTCGCTCAATATTGTGTGATCTCAAAGTTCTTTTGTACGATCTTGATCAACTCTGTGTCAATGTTCTCCTTAATGGTCTTCCTGATCGCTTCAGTTCGTTCATTGACAGCATCTAGAAGGAAGAAGATACATCATCTGTGGAAAACATCAAGATCAAAATCCTTCGAGTGAATGCAAGTCAGAGGAACAGAACAAATGACAAAGCTCTAGCAGCTCAAGCTTCCTCACTTTCTTGGCAACAAACCTCAGCTGCTCGCTCAGACGAAGACTCGCTCATGGTGTTCTATTGTCACGGCCGTCAAACAACTACTTTCTAACAGACCGATGGTCAACGAACCTCGGCTAACTTGACACTTCTAAGTCAATCTCTCACCCAACCAGGAGGGCGCAGACGTCGAAAGGAGTGTAACTACGGCGTACTTCGCCGTAGTTACTCTAACTGGGGTTTTGTTCTGTTGATGGCGATGTATCTCCATTTGTATATAGCTATCTCTATCTGTCTTTCACTACTGACAACAATCAAGGATCGCTGAAGAACTTCAGCGAGCTTCTCAGCTAATATTATCTATTCCTCCTAGACGTTCATCCAACCCTCTCACGCTTTGACGTACTTCAACGCACTTTGTCCAACTTCCCCGAGTCCCCGGCCATCCTCTTCCTCCTTTGACTAACTCCGCCTAACATTGCCGCACTTCTGCTCCCTTTGTCCCTACCTAGTCTAACTCTGTCAAACTTTGCCGTGCTTCTGCTCCCATTGTCTCTACTCAGCCTGACTCCGTCTAACTTTGCCGTACTTGGTCTCAGATGTCCTGAGTTACGTGTAGAGTAAAGAGGTTAAGGCTGATGGGGGTTTTGATGGTCAAAGGAGGGTCATTGTTGGTGGGATAATCAAGGTGTCAAAACGTAGTTCGTGACATCTATGCTGGATTGAAGCAGGCAGGGAAGGGACCAAGTAAGGAACATCCCTGTGCTCGATGTGGATCGGTCGATCATTGGGTAGTAGACTGCTCAGTTCCTGCATCCTCGAATGAGCGAGGTAGAACCAAGAAATGGAGGGGAAAGAAAGACAAGGGTCGATCGAACGAGGTTGCTGCTCCTGTAAAGACTGAGACTGAGACAGCTGCCATTGCCTCACAAGCTATCACCTTGTTTGAACGCAACAATATTGAACATCTCCTCCTCACCACCGACATCAACTCGATCTTGCTGGCCGCTCGTTCAAGTCAATGGATTCTTGACTCTGGGGCAAGTGAACACATGAGTGGGGATATCAACTGGATGAAAGATCTCAAATTGACCGAGTCGATCGCTCGAATCACAGCTGCTGGAGGGAGAACTCTTACAGCAAGCTCGTGCGGCTCGGTCAATCTTACAAACCATCTCGCTCACAAAGTAACACTTAGTTGAGTTCTTTATGTTCCTGACTTGGGATTCAACCTCATCTCGGTATCTCAACTTGACTCGCTTGGAGCAACAGTGGTGTTTGGTGGCGGAAAGTGTCCTGTCATGAAAGGTGAGCTGGAGGTACTTCAAGCACACAAGGTGGATAAGGTGTATGTGGTGGGAGCTGGACAATGCTCTGATCGATCGACCGATCTGAAGGACATGGCTTGAATCTTACCCACCTCATTTGAACCCACTACTCTTGCATTGGCAACCAACAACATCAAAGCCAGTAATACTCAAATGTCCTGGGACATCTGGCACCGACGCCTTGGTCATTTATCCTCTAGTGCCATGAAATCGCTCTTCGGTCGAATGAGCAACGGAACCTCACTCGCTCGCACAACACCTTCTAAAGATGTGTGTGAAGGTTGTGTGTGTCATGGGAAAGATTGTGCACCCTCCTTTTCCACCAAGTGAATCACGAGCTGAAGCCATCCTAGACCTCGTTCACACCGACCTCTGCGGACCAATGGGAGTTTGTTTGGATGGAGGAGCACAGTATATGATGGTGCTGGCGGATGACCATTCGAGATATACCTGGTCGTTCTTTCTTGCTCAAAAGTCAGATGCATTCGGTCAATTCAAAGAGTGGCTTGCTTGAGTTGAACGAGTTGGTGAGCGCAAACTCAAATGTCTTCCTTCAGACAATGGAGGAGAATTCACAAGCAAGGAGTTTGAAAGCTATCTTGCATCGCTCGGAGTAGAGCACCCAACCACAGCTCCTACACTTCTCAGTAGAATGGAGTAGCACAGCGAGCGGATTGGACTATCGTGGAATGAACAATTGCACTCCTCCACTCAGAGAAGCTTCCTGTCACACTATGGGCAGAGATCATGGCAACTGTTGTGTATCTCAAAAATCTATCACAATCTTGCTGGATCAAAAATAAGACCCCACTTGAGAAGTTTGCTCATGTCAAGCCTAACTTATCCAAACTCAGAGTTGTTGGATGTGCGGCTTGGGCGCTTGTTTGGAAAGGCGCTCGAGATAGTAAGCTTCAACCTGGTGCAACTTTGTGCTGTCTTTTTGGGTATGCTCTTACCCAGAAGGCGTACAGACTCTGGGATCCACTCACTCAAAAGGTGATCATCTTGTGCAATGTCATCTTTGATGAATCTATCTCACCACAGAGAATGCTTCGCTCATCTCCTTCGCTCGCTGAGTTGAATAAGCTCTTTCTACTGGACACACAGCTTGGTGCCAGAACTAGATCGATCCAACTCACACCCACTTCTCAAACGAGTACTTCAAGCATCTCGACCCCGGTCAATGCATTCAAAGTGGTGGGAGGTGAAGAAGTGATGGGAGATGTAGAAGTGGTGGGAGATGAAGAAGGGGTGGGGGATGAAGAACTGGTGGGAGCAGGAGGACAGGGAAATGAAGGGCAAAACGAAGTAGAGCAGGACAATCAGGATCAATTGAACAAACTCGTTCGATATCCAGGATGGCAATATGAGGAAGAACCTCGCCTTGCTCGAGAGCATACTCCCTCACCCGAGCTGGAGGAACAACAACCGGAACAAATGCAAACTCGCTCAGGTCGAACGTTTGGTCTTATCTCCCAGTACCCAGAGTATGAAATTGAGCTGAACGATTTCCTTGGTCGACCAGGTGAACAAGACTTCTCCCCTTTGGACGCTTGACTCCCTCAATGGCCAAATCCCCTCTCAGCATACTCACTCACTACCTTTGCAGCTCACATCTCGGTTGATGAACCTCGCTCATGGGATGAAGCAATTTGATCGAGCGATTCAATGCAGTGGAAAATAGCAGCTCAGGACGAGATGAAGTCTCTAGTAAAGGCAGGTGTCTATCACCTAGTACCTCGCTCGGCCGCTCAAGGCAGGATTGTAACTGGCAAATGGGTTTTTAGGGTCAAGAGATTTGCCAATGGTGACATCAATCGGTTCAAGGCTCGACTAGTCGCTCGAGATTTTACCCAACAACCAGGTATTGATTATGATGAGACATTTGCTCCTGTTGCCAGGTTTCAGTCCATTTGAACAATCCTTGCACTTGCTGCTATGCATGATCTCGAACTTCATCAGATGGATGTAAAAACTGCCTTCCTCTATGGTTTGCTCGATGAAGTAGTCTACATGGAACAGCCGGAAGGGTTCGCTCAAGATGAAAATATGGTCTGGAAACTAGACAAATCCGTCTATGGACTCAAGCAGGCACCTCGAGCTTGGTACCGCGAACACGACTCAACACTTTGCTCACTTGGGTTCATTATGTCACGAACTATGTCGTGACACCTCGATTATTCCACCAACAATGACCCTCCTTTGACCATCAAAACCCCTATCATGTCTTAATCTCTGTACTCTACACATAACTCAGGACATCTGAGACCAACTACAGCAAAGTACAACGGGAGAATAAGATATACGGGGGCCTGGAGCATCGCGACAACAAAGTACGGCAAAGTTAGATGGAGTTAGGCTAGGTAGGGACAAAGGGAGCAGAAGTATGGCAAAGTTTGACGGAGTGAGGCTGGGTAGGGACAATGGGAGCAGAAGTACAGCGAAGTTAGACGGAGTTAGACTAGGTAGGGACAAAGGGAGCAGAAGTGCGGCGATGTTAGGCGGAGTTAGTCAAAGGAGGAAGAGGATGGCCGGGGACTTGGGGAAGTTGGATGAAGTGCGTAGAAGTATGTCAAAGTGCCAGAGGGTTGGATGTACGTCTAGGAGGAATAGATAATATTAGCTGAGAAGATCGCTGAAGTTCTTCAGCCATCCTTGATTGTTGTCAGTAGTGAAAGACAGATAGAGATAGGTATATACAAATCCAGATACATCGCCATCAGTAGCACAAAACCCCAGTTAGAGTAAGTACGCCGAAGTACGCCGTAGTTACACTCCTTTCAACGTCTGCACCCTCCTGGTTGGGTGAGACATCAACTTAGAAGCGTCAAGTTAGCCGCGGTTCATCGACCGTCGATCGGTTAGAAGATTGTTGTTTGACGGCCGTGACAGGCCTGGAGCATAAGGACAGCAAAGTACGGCGAAGTTAGACGGAGTTAGGCTAAGTAGGGACAAAGGAAGCAGAAGTACGGCAAAGCTAGACAGAGTTAGGCTAAGTAGGGACAAAAGGAGCAGAAGTACGACAAAGTTAGACGGAGTTAGGCCAATGTAACGGTACTGGAAACACGACGACTAGGTCGCAGGTTGGGTCGAACTCGATGGATGTCTCGTGGAAATCTAGGGGCTCTGGTGCTAATGGATCGTGTCTCCTCTGCAATCGATGTAGCCAAAGAATGATATTGAAGAATCAGCAAAGTTGGTACTTTGCTGATTGTACTATATACTGTCTACGGCTATCCTTGTCCTCGTCTCCTTCCTGCTGCAAGCGTCTACGTACATACTCGGACAGGTGAAAAACCGCTTTGAGCAAACCCAGTGGGGAAATCTCGAAAGGGGAAAACCCGTCCCTACCTACTGCAGCACTGCCTCCAACTCCCGCTCTTCTCTGTCCTAATCCGTCGAACTCGATAGAGTCCTCTCGATTCGTTGTTACTCCGTAACAAGTTTCCCCCCCTGTCTCAAGGATCCTCGCCGAGGATCCTGAACCCTGTAACCAGGTGATGCACATGGATTGTTCTTAGACACCTTTGGTGCGCCCTGACATCATACCCACGCTAGTGTGACGGTTGCCATGAAAACGCGTCACCCGCACGGACCTCCAATGTGATCGAGAAATTACTGACCAAGTTACCTCCCCGTCTTTTTTCTCTTCTTTCCTCCTCATTCTCTCTTTACCTCTTGTTTGTCATTCTTTTTACTTATCTATCATTATCCATCCATATCTTACTCATATCTTAGAGCATCCTTCCAACTCTGACCTGTCTGTGAGCATGTCTAAGCGTACTGTAAGCAATTCCTTTCGAATTCGATGTATATCCTCATATTTCTCGCTGGCTGACGAGACTAGTTGTCCTCTTCCACTCCTTCCCGTCAAACTCGAGCCTCTACCTTGGCAACTTTACCCGACGTCGACTCCGAGAGAACTTCTCATGCGTCAAACGAAAAGAATGAGAATTACTTCCCAAGCCGCCTCCTCTCAACCCCCATTGGTTGATGCGTCTCGACGAGCTCTCGATACCATTAAGGAGAAGTATCAATCCGGTCCTTCTCGCGAAGCACAATCGTTCCTTGATGACCATGTCATCGAGCAATATTTCGACTTCGAAGGGGGTGCTGGGCCATCTGCCACTGGTGAGAACCTATCTCCCGCCAAATCCGTTGAATCCGAACACCCTACCGTCGTCGAAAATGCAAATTCTCCCGGTAAGCAACTTACTGGTCCTCCTTCTGAGGCTTCCGACGAACTTGTGGAGGTTCCCGACGAGCTTGGTGGCATCTTTCACGCCCCTCGCAAGGTTCCCGTCAACAAGGAACTGGTTAAGTTGCTCGAGGATCGAAAAGACTCCGAGATCGGTGAGAATTCCACCGAGTTCTGTTCGCTTCTGACTTGTTAGCTACCCTTTGGGCCAGCATGACCTTCCCCTCTGTTCGTCTCGCGTTGAAGAACGAAGCTCTGGACCGTTTCCGCGAAACCAACGCCATCAAGCCCACTGTAAAGTGGTTTAAGAACGCTGTAAGTCTCGAATTCTTTCAAGTTTTATCGATTCTAATCATTAGCTCGATCGTTTGGCCCAAGGTTGGCGCCTCCGCAACAAAAATGGTGCTGTTGTTCGGCTAGAGGGTGAGCTCTGTACCGATTGTCAACGTCGTCTCGATGGTGGTGAAGACTTTCGTGTTGGTTGTATTGGCCCTCGTAAGTTCTTGCTGCGACTCGTTCGATGTTGATGCAATTCAGTCGGTGGAGTGTGTGGTGAATGCTCTGCTAAGGGTACTTCAAAATGTTCGGTGAAGACCAACAATCCTGAGTCCAAATTCCGTGAGGTACCTGTCTATTTCCTTCGAACTTGGTCGATGTTGATGTATAGGGTATCGTTGTGGGAGCAAGAACCGTCACTTCCAAGGTTACTTTTGTCCTGGAGCACGAGCTTTGTGCGGCTTCGGTCCGTTATCGATCCCTTCCTGCCCATGATCAACCCGCCTGTCTGACCCAACTTTCGGGTTACATCCATCTCTTTACCTCCCTTCTCCTTCCTCTCCCCTCTCAACATCTGGATCTTTACAAATCCCTTCATCTTATTTCCGCCAACTACGCTCCTCCTTCCGCCGATGAAACTCTGGATCATCTTACTTCTACTGGTGATCCTACAGGATTGAGTTCCTCTCAGCCAGTCGCCGGTCCCTCCTCTTCTCCCCATACTCCTCTTCCCCGCAACGTCATTCGTATTCCCGCTTCGGCCCGTCGTCCCCGAGCCGATTCTAACGCCTCCATTGAATAGTGTGTTTATATCTCTCTATTTGTAGCTATATTTCCTGTGTATGCATTCATTTCTGACCCAGTTTTGTTGATCTTGATCGAATTCTCACTTTCTTCTGGGGTCCCTCTTCCTCTTTTCCAAAAATTCACCAAAAACGGCCAACTCTTCTACATTTTCTCGTGGTTCCCAGTCATAGGCCGCATTTCCTGTGTATCCTAACCATTTTACCTTGAATTCTTCCTTTCCTCGTCGAATTCTGCTGTCCACGACTGCTTCCACATGGAATTCATCCTGGCCGTTAATTACTACAGGCGGTGGGGGTGGTATCTGTCGACCTGGTATCATATCCTCAGGATATGGTTCCAACAGCGTGACATTGAAGACATTGTGCACTTTCATTGATGGAGGTAGATCTAGTTCGAAAGCATTTTTTCCAACTTTCCTTATGATCTTGAAGGGGCCAATGTATTTTGCTTCTAGTTTTCGACTGGGTCGTTCCGTCGTAAGATACTTCGTACTTAGTAGTACCTGTTCTCCGTTTCTGAATTCTTCTGGTATGCTCTTGTGTCTCCTGTTGTAGTACTCTGCACTAATTTCATTCGCCATCCTGACCTGTTCTTGAACAGTCGCATGCAACTCTCCCATATCTCTCCATTTCTTCTCCAACTTGTTTGACTTTGATCGAATATCGTGCGAATGGATGTCGTAGTGTGGCACATAGCCGTAACAGGCTTCAAAAGGACACAGACCGTGGCTACTATGTGGCGAGCAGTTATAAGCGAACTCAGCAATTGGTAGAAGTTGATCCCAATTGTCCATGTTGTAGTTTACATACATTCCGAGCAGGATTTCCATCTGTTGATTTACTCGCTCAGTTTGTCCATCTGTTTGAGGGTGATACGCAGTCGAATATAAGTTCTTTATTCCTAAGAACTGACATATTTCCTTCCAAATTTCCGCTGTAAACTGAGTTCCCCTATCTGATACAATTGTTCAAGGTACTCCATGTTTAGAAAAGATCTCCTTGATGTAGATGTCGGCCACTTTGTTCGCTGTTAGTCCAGTTGTACATGGAATAAATCTAGCCATCTTGGTTAGTCGATCGACTATTACCAGTATCGCGTCGAACTCGGTTGATTTTGGTAGGGGTCCCACCATATCCATAGAGATATCTGTCCAGGGCAGTGTGGGTACTGGTAAAGAGACTAGATGTCCATACGGCTGGTGTCGATGAGTCTTGTGTCGGTTACAGATCTCGCATCCTTTTACGTATTTTGCAATATACTCGTCCAAATGTGGCCAGTAATAGTCCTCTTTGACCATGGTGATAGTTTTGTCTCTTCCTGGATGACCAACTAGTATCGAATCGTGTCTTGCTTTCATTACTTCTAATCTTGCCTGTCCCTCTGGTATGACTACTCTGTTTTTGTATAAGAGTAATCCGCTCTGTGTCCATGATACTATTGGTGTCTCGCTGCTAGCCTGTGTCTTCTGTGTGTCCTGTGTGTTCTGTGTGCTCTGTGTGCTCTGTGTGCTCTGTGTGCTCTGTGTGCTATGTGTCTGTGTCATCTGTAGTCCTAGTTGTCGTATGTTTGCTATGTCTTCTGAGTCTTTCAGTCCGTTTTTGATGAGTCCGAATAATGAATCTTCTCGGATTGCTCCTCTTACTATGTGTCTTGGTCCTTTGTGTTCTGAGTCCATTGAATTCGATCCAACTTGTTCGTGTGTCGGTAGCAATTGTAGCCAGTTGCCTTTGTTTAGATCCGGGTCCTTGCTACTCCCTCTTCCCGGATGATAATCTCCTCGTCTCGTCAGAGCATCTGCTCCCCCATTTTTGCTACCTGGTCAATAAGTGATCTCTATGTTGAAGTCTCCCAATATTTCCAACCATCTCATCTGCCTTCGATTTAGTTGTCGTTTGCTTTGGAAGTATTCTAGGTTCTTATGATCGGTAATGACCTTTATAACATCACTACTGTTAGCCAAGTAGGGCCTCCAGGCGACCAAGCAATCCACGATGGCTAATAATTCTTTCTCTCCCACCGTGTAGTTTAGCTCACAGGGCGTCATTGCTCGAGACCAGTACGCTACTGGGTGAAGTTCGGTGGTTCCCTTTATTGACGGGTGAAGAAATCTCTGAGACGCTATCGCACCTATCGCGCAATCGGATCCATCGGTTTCAATCCAAGTCGGTCGAGTTCTATCAAAATGTCGAAGTACTGGTGCGGTGGTGAATGTTTTCTTTAGATCGTCAAAAGCCTTTTGACAATCTTGTGTCCTGTTCCAAGCTTGATCCTTCCTAGTCAATCGTGTGAGAGGTCCCACAATATGCGAAAACCCCTTGATAAACCTCCGATAGAAATTCGCAAAACCCAAGAACACTTGAGTATCCCGGACTGTCATGGGTTCTCCCCATTCTAGAATAGCTTTCACCTTTTCTTGATCCATTTCGATCCGTTCGTGTCCTATTACGTACCCCAGGAACTTCACTTCATTTGAACTCCATTCGCATTTTCTCGGACTGACGACCAAATCGTTTTCCAGTAGTCGATCTAATACCTTTTGGACAATTATCTGATGGTTTTCGATCGTGTCGGAGTATACCGTGATATCGTCGATATAAACTACTACCCCTTCGTCAAGTAGATCGTGAAACATGTCTTGTAGAAAGTTCTGAAAGGTGGCTGGTGCATTACACAACCCATCCCTTGGGACTGTGCTCTCGAAACTGCCGTATCTTGTTCGTAAGGCAGCTTTATGTTCATCTCCTTCCTTTATCCTGACTAACTGGTAAGCCCCTTTCAAATCGAGCTTAGTGAAGATCCTTCCTAATTGAAGTCGATCGAGTAGTGTCGAGATGAGTGGCATTGGGTATGAATCCTTAATGGTTACCTTGTTAAGCGCACGATAATCCGTTACCACTCGATAGGGAATCACTCCCTTTTTTGGAACCAGGAATACAGGAGACCCATAAGGTGATTTACTTCTTCGTAGATGGCCGCTGGCCAGACCATCGTTGATCCACTGCTTTAGGAATGCATCCCCATGTTCATCCAGTTGGTAGATTGGTCCTGGTTTTAGTTCTGCTCCGGGGGTCAATTCGATCTCGTGATCACATTCTCTTCTTGGTGGTAGTTTTCTGGCTCGTTCCACTTTGAATAGCTCCAGGTATTGGTGCCATTGTGTCGGTATGACCTGTCGTAACTCTTCTTCGCTCATCTCATCTTCTCCTTTTTCCAATGCTGTTCCTCTTACCAATCCTTCCTCCAACCTCGGATACTTCCAACCGTTATCTTGTCCGATCCCGTCGAATTCGATCAATCCCTTTCCACAATCGATCCTTGCCCTAAACTGTTTCAAGAAATCCAATCCCACCAGTACCTCGGGGCCTTCGTATGCCATCACATCCAATCGAGTCGCAATCTTGAGTCCTTCTCCTAAATCCAATTCAGCTTCTACATACTCGGTCACTAACGTCGCGGTTGTTCCATCGAGGAACCTAATCTTCCGTGGTTCCCGATACTGTCTTTTGGGGAATAAATGGTATAATGGACAGGCCGGCTGTACGTATCTTCCGGTAGCTCCGGTATCAATTAACATTCCAAATCGTAGGGTATCTTCTTCTGTCTGTATTTTTATGTATATTATAGCCGAGTCATTACTAAGATCTATTGGTAGTTGAATTTTGTGCGATTCTGTTAGATCCTGGCCGCAAGTGGTCGCATCACTTAGGCCAGGTATTCGTTTCCCTCTTCTTCAAAGGTCACCGCCATTCCTCGAACTAATGGCCCTTTGGATCCGGTTGGGATCGAGTTCGATCCACTAGGAATTGGTGAGCTATGCGGGTTTGGGGATCCCCTAATGTTGTTTCTCGTATTTCCTCCATTTGGACAGTTGTTGGCGTAATGTTCTGGACTTCTACATTTGAGACAACGTCGGTTCTCCCTCCTCCAAATCATTTCGTTCTCCCTGAGACGTCCTCCGTCCTCTGTCCAAGTGACCGGAGGGTCATTTGGTAGACCATAATTCATCATCCCTGGTTTTCCACCGGGCAAGGGTCCTCTACCAGTCGATTGTGAGTGGCGTTCTACCGGGTTGGGCGAACTAGTATCCAATCGCATCGAATTCGATCGAGGGGGAAGCCAGGTCGTCTCATGTTTGCGTCTAGCAGCCCATCGATTCGCTGCAATCATCGTTTCAGCCATCCGTTGGTTCTCCTCAGTCCCTATCACATGCTGTTTGAAATAGATCCAGTCCGATTTGGTTCGAGGGTCGGTGTTATTTACCACTACCACCTTCAGTAGCTCTTCCTTCAGGCCCTGTATGGCTGAGGCGATTTTCATTGCATCTGGTACCTTTCCAAGGTGTGTGGACCAAAGTTCAAAGTTGGCAAAATACTCGGCGGCCGTATCAGTCTGTCTTAACTCTTGCAATTTCCTCATAGCCGTACCTGCCATGTTACTATCTCCAAATTGAGTTCGTAAATGCTGAATGAATTTGTCGTAGCTCTCTAGCCATTCGGTCGAATTCCATATACTTGGGTTGGTTATGGCCGGGGTTATAAGCATTTGAGGGGTGCCTCGAAGATACCCGTACATGAACAGGATCTTTCTGCGATCGGTGGCGTACTCTGCCCCTTTGAACTCGAAGTTCATGTGACATGCTGCAAGGAAGTTGTCCAATTCTCCTCGTTCTCCACTGAAGGTAGGTGGATCCGCACACCTGGTTCTTCCTGTTCGTTCGTTGTTGGTAAGTTTTGGCTCCAAACACGGCTTGTTTTCTTCGACTTCGATCGAACTTGCCCCTTTCGATGTGAGTATCTGTTGGTTCTGTCGGTCAGCTTTCATCGTAGCCAGTTCTTCCCTTAATGCATTTTGTTCCTTTTGTTGCATCGTCATAATGGCTAACAATTGTGACAACTGCTGCGATAATTCATTTAGCGGATCTGGGGTAGTGGTGGTAGAAGTGAGATCATGTGAAATGGTACTTCTCGAAGAACTTGTTGGTATTTCTTCCTCTGGGACCAGCCCTTGTTCCAACTCCTCTTTTTCTGGTATCATTTTCCGCGCTTTCCCTCTGGTGAGCATACAGTACTCTCCGATTCGACCCAAGGTGCGTAAGGCTGATTCTTCAACTTGTAACGGTACTGGAAACACGACGACTAGGTCGCAGGTTGGGTCGAACTCGATGGATGTCTCGTGGAAATCTAGGGGCTCTGGTGCTAATGGATCGTGTCTCCTCTGCAATCGATGTAGCCAAAGAATGATATTGAAGAATCAGCAAAGTTGGTACTTTGCTGATTGTACTATATACTGTCTACGGCTATCCTTGTCCTCGTCTCCTTCCTGCTGCAAGCGTCTACGTACGTACATACTCGGACAGGTGAAAAACCGCTTTGAGCAAACCCAGTGGGGAAATCTCGAAAGGGGAAAACCCGTCCCTACCTACTGCAGCACTGCCTCCAACTCCCGCTCTTCTCTGTCCTAATCCGTCGAACTCGATAGAGTCCTCTCGATTCGTTGTTACTCCGTAACAGCTAAGTAGGGACAAAGGAAGCAGAAGTGCGGCGATGTTAGGCGGATGTAGTTGAAAGAGGAGGAGGATGGACGGGGACTCAGGGAAGTTGGACGAAGTGCGTTGAAGTACGTCAAAGCACGGTAGGGTTGGGTGAATGTCTAGGAGGAATAGATAATATTAGTTGAGAAGATTGCTGAAGTTCTTCAGCGATCCTTGATTGTTGTCAGTAGTGAAAAACAGATAGAGATAGCTACATTTAAATCGAGATACATTGCCATCAGTAAACCCAAACCCTAGTTAGAGTGACTACGTCAAAGTACGCCGTAGTTACTCTCCTTCCGACGTCTGCGCCCTCCTGGTTGGGTGAGACATCGACTTAGAAGCGTTGAGTTAGCCGAGGTTCGTCGACCGTCGGTCTGTTAGAGAGTGGTTGTTTGACGCTCTTGACATTCTGATATTACTGACTTTTACAGTCAGAATAGGAAATTCGTCACTCAGTTGGTTTTAACCCAACACTCTCAGTCCCCTCAGTATATAAGGTAAGGCGAGCCAGAGACTAACCCCGTCAGTACTCAAGGCAGTTCTTTGCTACCGCAGTCTACCCGCAGGCGTGACATCCCATGAATCCATGCATGGGAGGAAGAGACAGCATTTGAAGTTTTGATGTTGAGGAGGCTATTGTGCAATAATCCAATCAGCTACACTCATCTCCTCTTGATACAAAACAGATTGGGACCGTCTCTTCTCAGGTGTAAAATTTCTCAGAGTCTGCATGATATCTGAGAACATGGCAGGTACTCTTCCGTGGGACACGGATCTTCAGCCGGTCACGGTCACACCCATGACGCTTTGAAGTGGCACGTCTTCCGTACATCACCTAAGAAAAGAGACGGAGTCATACCAGAACCTATGGAAAAAAGATAGAAAACAGTATAGGGTAAAAGAGCAAAGGAAGACAAAGATAGATTAGGGACACAGGGATGAAGGAAAAGTATCATGTGTTGTAGAAGTAGGGACTAGGTGTGAAAGGAGAACAGTAAAGTCCGTAGCGGGATCAGAGAGGGGATGGGGGCGGGTGAGATGAAGTAAGACTCTGAGTACGACTCTGGGGAACCCGTGTGAGGTGACTGACGGAAGCCGTGACGCTTCAAAGTCTCTGGGAGCTCGAGACTGCTAGTGTCACGAGACCAACTAACCAGCATTGGGACGATATAACAGTGCCCTTCAGAGGCAGTGGTCTAAACCACTGTGCTAAAAGGCCTATTAACCGGCGGTTACTGCATACCGCTGGTCGCTGGTTAAATACCCAACCCATCCTATCACTATCACTATCAAACTGTCTTGTCACTTCGTGACATTATGCCTTCCCTTTCAGCCCCATCTGGGGCCCCAACAGGGAAGGGTACGATAGGCCGAAAACTTTCTCCGAGAGGGAGGTTTTCCAAGTAGGGACTGAATTTGACCCAGCCCACCCTGGGAGTCGAACCCAGGATCCTACCCGTAACCGCCGGTTAATCTGTCACGAGACCAACTAACCAGCATTGGGACGATATAACAGTGCCCTTCAGAGGCAGTGGTCTAAACCACTGTGCTAAAAGGCCTATTAACCGGCGGTTACTGCATACCGCTGGTCGCTGGTTAAATACCCAACCCATCCTATCACTATCACTATCAAACTGTCTTGTCACTTCGTGACAGCTAGGCAGAACTCGCGTATTGAGCCTATCAGCAAGGACGTTATGATGCAGGTCCCTTACAGCATTAGGAACTCAAGTGACATGACAACCGGGGTGCATTACCCTTCCCTGGACCTCCTGTATTTAGGATACGCCTAA